ACAAGCCATGCGCTCACATAACACAAATCTGAAGCACACGACAAAAGCACGTGACCACAATGTAAACACCGAGCCACGTGCTTTGACAAAAGACGCAAGACACGAGCACACGATGAATGAAAACACTCACCGTGCGCTCACACACGCAGCGTGCATGCTTCATCCCAGCGCCGACCAAAACCGAAACCAACAAGACTGAGACGCTGGGAATGAAACACCACGCTGCTGACAGACGAAAACACAAACACGAGTACAAGAGCGCACGCGTCTGAGGGACGCAGAGCGCGCGCGCGGCCGCGTCAAGCAGGAGCGCACACACTCTGCGTACACCCACGACGGCGCGCGCGCACACAGAGACAGAAACAGGACCAGACCTGGGTAGTGTCCGAGCTCTGCCACCAAAACAAGAATTTAAAAGACCAGAGTGGCAGAACCCTGACAAAATAGGCCCGGATTGGCCAATCGGGAGGACCGGGAGAATTCCCGGTGGGCCGGTTCGTTTTTTTGGGTGCGAGGACCGGTGTCCCTAGCTCCAGAATCTGTTGCTCTCAGCAGTCACACTTTTTGAATTTATTTATTTATTTACTTGACCACCGTCTTCTTACTCATTATTTTACCGTAGCTCTGCAGGTTAATGATGATATAACTCACATTTGTCACCTCTCAATGAACAGTTGTTGTGGTCCAGTGGTTAGTGCATTAGGTTTCGACGTCTCTGACCTGGGTTTGATCCTTCTCTGAGTATTTTTTAATTTTTTTTTTTTTTTATTGTTAAGACATATAATACTGTTAGGGTTGTTAAACATTTGAAGTTCTAAAGCAGCTGTTTTCTCAAAAAAAGACGTGATAGTATAATTAGAAACTGAATTGGAAATGACCTTATTTTAATATAGTCAGTCGGGAACTTAGGTGGGCCGGTTTGAGGCTTGAAACTCCAGAGCTGAAAAGGAGTCCCACTCTGGCCCTGAGTCCAAATATCTAAAAGTTCTCAAATCAAGAAGCATTTTTACACAAGCAAAACATATAGTCTTGTTTTAAGAAATAATATGCCAAAATGAAGTGAGTTTTTCCTTAAATCAAGCAAAATAATCTGCCAATGGGGTAGGCAAAATAATCTTATCACAAATCGAAAAACAAGATTATTTTGCTTACCACATTGGCAGATTATTTTGCTTGATTTAAGGAAAAACTCACTTCATTTTGGCACATTATTTCTTAAAACAAGACAATATGTTTTGCTTGTGTAGAAATGCTTCTTGATTTAAGAATTTGTAGATATTTGGACTAGAAATAAGACAAAAAAAATCTAAGTAAGAAAAGCCTTTTTTTTGTAGTGTGGGACACCACTACCGCACCTGCACACAGCATCATATATCATTGCGATCTCTTGCTTCATATGAGATCACATGATGGCGACTGCTGTATTATGTTATTCCAGTTGTGTTATTTTTTGGTATTTATCTTCAGGAAATCACTGAAGGCATTTATTATGTTATCATAGGGTATTCGAGTGTCATCGAGTGTCTGAATGTTGAGGGACTGCTATACAGGAGTTATTATTATGGGTTACAGATTTACAAATGTATTGTTTTTTTATTTTAGCATTTTTTTTTAAAGCATGATGGTAAAACACGTACGCGATTATGAATATATTAAAACATGTGCTTGTTTGTTTGTAAAAAAAGTTTGTTGTACCCCTGATGATAAGGGGTAGAATTGGGATAAGCATTCAAACTCACATTGTTAGCATTTAACACTGAATAAAGTACATCAGATATACCTAAGGTGATCATTGTCAGTTTATATTGTTGTTCAGTTGCAGTAAATAGAAGCTGTTTCTAAAATACTCATTTCAGGTGTTGATTAGAACAAAACAACCTTTCAATATGGAGAATATTCGCTGCCATTGCTTTTATTTAGAACACGATTTAAATCAGCCTTAAGCCTTTATAGTCAGACTCGCGCCTGTTGATGTCATCAATCTGTCAACCTGTGCTTGTATGTTTTGAACCAGGTGTGCAATATTTAGTTCAACTACTGGGTGTCAAACTTACATACTGCATCTTTAATTTGTTTGTGTTGTGAAAATTTGCATCGCGTTTTCTTTAAATTATTGCATTGTGACGATTTGCAACACGTTTGCGGTCAAACCGATCAAGATCTTTTCTTAATTTGCTGGTGCTTAATTTGCTGGTGCAGTGCAGAGACTCTCTCTGCTACGGTAGGATGTTTAGACATTGAACCTGTTTTGAACCTACACTAGAGACTTTAAAAAATGGACAGGAACTGCTGGATGCTACAGATATGATCTAAATGACTCCATCACGTCACGGTTAAACTGTCAGTATGGTATTTTTATCAGTGTTCCTAAATAGGGCTGGGTGATTAATCGAAAAGGAATCGAAATCAACATTCAGAACGTGTAATCGATCAAATTTTTCTAAGTCATTTTTTTTCAATGATTTTCCCTAACATTTATGGAGTCATCAGACCCTGCTCTGTTAAGGCTAATTTATACCTATTATATTATTATTTATACTTATTATATTATTATGATAATACCAGTGGTGGAAAGAGTACCATTACTTGCCTAAAAATATAGTGTAAGTAGAGTAAAAGTATCTGTTGTAAATATTACTCAAAGTATAAGTAAAAAGTAGCCCTTTCAAAAAGTACTCAAGAGTAGTGAGTAGTGAGTATTACGCTGTGAAAAGCTGATGGATTTACATGTAATTTGTGCAAATGTGTGTAAACGTAACATTATGAAGTGCATTTAATTATTGCCCTGCAGGCACACAACATCATAAGATGCTAATATTAGGTTAGATTTAAATTTGATGTCTGGTGATCAAAATTCAATGTCTAACCGGTGTCTAAGGACAACATTATTTTGATGTCCAATAATGACATCAAATGACATTGATATTTGGTTGATTTTAGGTTGTTAGAAAGTGACCAAAATCCAACATTGAGCCAACATCTTAAACCAACATCATATTGACGTCAAATTCTGACATTTATTCAATAGGTTGGCAACCTTGATCCAACAACTGATAGACATTGTGGTAAAGTCAACACAACGTCAAGCTGTAACATCATTAGATGTTGATATTTGGTTGGTTTTAGGTTGGACATTGGCCTGACATTAAGTTCTGACATCAACATGATTTTCATGTTTAAACAAAATGCAATATCACCATGACGTTAGGGTACAATGTCAAATTGATATTATGTTGACGTCTTGTGCTTGCTGGCTGTCATCAAACTGTAAACATCCATCATCTTTTTACAGAAATTTGAGTATTTGTAATGAGTTACTTTGCACCACTGGATATTACACTTCTGCTAAGTGCATGCATATGGTCTGGTGCAGCCTTTGTATTACACATTACACATAGCGCAAGCTTTGTGACTGGTTGATTTGATAGTGGTGATGAGGGTGAGCTGCGCAGGGAACAGCTTTTTAGGCAATGTGTGTTTTTATTTCAGTTGTCCAGCGTTGATGTTCAATAAATAATCCTAGATAATAGATAGTGTGTTTCCTATTATTATCTTAAAACCAAGAAATGCACACTTCATTCAAAAATCCCTCGCTTGTAATATATGAGAATATTTGCTGTACAAATCCTGTCAGTCAGCTATGAGGACAAAAACATAAAATAATTAAAATAGTTTATTAAAATGTTAAAATGTTCAATTAATCAAGTATTTTATTTTAGGCCAAATTGCCCAGCACTGTTCCTTAATAAGTTTGTCAAGATTTGATTTTATTAATTTGTTATTTATATTAAATTTTATAAATTAAATAAAGTTTTTTTTTGTTAAATAGGATTCATATTAATTTTAAATAAGTAGTAGTTTTTAAACTGATAAATATTTCCTAAATATATTGTAAATATATATATATATATATATATATATATATATATATATATATATATATATATATATATATATATATATATATATATATATACAAATATTTAAAATAAATATTCTTAAATATGTTGATTGATAATAAATACATAATTAAGTATATTTAAAATATATTTCATTTATTAGTTAAATACTATTTATTTTTGTGAAGAAAAATAATGAATAAATAAATACAGTTATAGCGTAATGTTTATTTAATATCAAATTTAGTTTTGGGATAATAAATTAAGTTTTGGGAATTTAAGCAATCGTGATATGCTGAGGTTTTATGAAAGTTGCATTTACAAAGCCAAATATTCTTTAGAGCAGAGACTCACGTCATCCACTAGAGGGCATCTTGAAGTATCAGCATTATTTCCAAATATTAAAAAACAAGACAAAACGCGTAAAATCTTATTATTTGTTGTGCATGAATTTATGTATTGATTTATTCATTGATACATGTATATTACATGTAAAAAATATTATTATAAATGTACTTGGAAAAATATACTAAAAACCTTTGAAAATGTTCCACTGTTTTGAAAATCCTGGATGAAAATTAATTTTGAGATATAAAAAATAATATAATGTCATATGTAAAATAATATAATTCTAAAAATACAAGAGCATTTTTATAATGAGCATACAGTTACGTTTTAGTCAATTATTTTACACTTATTTTATTTAGATTTTTTCAATTACAATAAAAACTGTAATTTATTTTTAATGTATTTTAATGTATTTTTAATGAAGGAAATGTGTTATTAAATTTAAAATATTTTTAACATCATACCATGAAAATTACATCAATCAAGATATTATCCATTTTATTGTTAACATAATTTAAAGGCCATCCTAAACTAAAGAAACTAAAGAAGAAATCTCCTCTCTTTTACAGTCTTTTGTTTTGTATTCAGGAAGTTATTCACACATGGTCTGTCCTATACACCAACAGGGTCTAAACTGCGCACAGCCCCCCCCACCCCCCCACCCTCCCCCCCACCCCCCCACCCTCCCTTTCTCTCTCTCTCACACACACACACACACACAGACACACACATACGCACACACACAAAAAAGAAAACAAACCTGTTTGTCTGGTTTTAGCTACCCGGAAATCATAGAGAGAGAGAGAGAGAGAGAGAGAGAGAGAGAGAGAGAGAGACAGAAAGAGAGAAAGAGGTGAATGTCTTCAGTTCCTGTCCTCAATGTAAGAATGTCTCAAATTTAGGACTACAGTACAATCATACCACATGGATGGGAGCGATAATGGCTGAGCGAGAGCACTGGATATCTTCATGGCTGGAGTGACTGGAGTGGCTGGAGGATGGTGAATCTCATAGCACAACAGCAATATCTCAAGAATTTGAAATATTTTCTTTGTCTAGTTTTAAGGTTTGCAACTTAGTAATGAGACATGGCAAAAGGACATATTTACAAATTTAAAACCTAATGGAGTAATACCACATTCTAGGACATCTGAAACCAAAGTGTCTGTAAGGTTTACACCTGTAGTTTGGAAAAGTGAGATTTTTTTTTATTGTGTTTGTGAAGAAAATATTTGAGGATCTTCTGAACCATGGAGCTTAACGTGATCAGCACGAGATGTTATACTGGATTATGGCTGTGGTAAGATGACTATTCACTTTGAAATCATCACCTTTACAGCAGCTTTTGAGCTGTTTTTATATCATAATACCATCATCAGTGATAAAAAGTCAAAGAGTTACCGGGAAAGTCGTTTTCAGATCCATCATGTTACCTAAAAATATAATTTCTCAGAATAATGGAGACTAACATTGACCACTTGTTCTCGTTTCCTTTTTGTTGTTGCTAAAATGACATTAATCGCAGACTTGACACTGATTATCAGTTGTTGCATGTAAATAAGCCCACTTCTACATTGACTTCACCTTAATTTTGTGAAGGAAGTGAGTTATTTCAACACTATCTCAAAGGACTGTTGATGCCGACACACATAGGATCTTTAATATAAGTTGACAATTGCTCCACGTGTTGCTCATATGATGGCAATGGCTAGACGTCCAGGAACTGCGGGCCGAAGTCAAATTTCGGACACTTCTGAAACCCCATCCCAGCCCCCAACCAGCGCTGACCGTAAACTTCTGGAGAAAGTGCTCAAGAGACTGGACAAACTGCACAAACTGAGCGTTGATCCCAGGCTGGCCCTCAAAAACAGTCCTCCGTACCTCCCTGAGCTTCTGTCGGAGACGGCTATCCACCTGACAGAGGTCTGGGCGCCTTACAGGGGGTCCGCCATGGCTGTGCCCCGATGGGATGAAGGAGATTACATGAGGATCCATATTAGACACTTACTGGACAAGACAGACAGAGCTGTGCTGCTGTTCAAGGAAGGCAAGGAGAAGATGTTTGAAGAGACATCAAACTACAGGTAAGATACTATGGAGCATTTAAGTAAACAAAGAATTCTTCACAGTGAACAAGGTTTGTTAGATTTTTCAAGCCTATAAAATAAATGGTTCAGTCAATATGAACTGCTGATACTTTGAGGAACCAGAAGTGGTTCTTCTGTGGTGTTGCTGTGAAAGCCCACTTTTAAAAGCTTTATTTTAAAGAGTGAATTGGTCACATTATTTTATGTTCTTCAGGTGTTCACATTTGAACAAAATTTAGGACAGCAGTTTCCGTATTTTGACAATTTTTATATTTTGTGATTCTCGAGTTTTTTCCTTTTATTTACGGCTGTGATTTGCATTATGGGACCTCGATCTCTGCACTGTCGAATTTTGTTGTTGACAATGAAACTCTACAAGTAACCGAAGTGACTTTCATTGACATTTTAGTAGTATGAAATAGTAAAATGTATGAGAAATAATATATAGAGGAATAAGTGTGTTAAATAACAGAAAACATACTGTGATGTTAAAATGCAAGGTTTTTGTAGCGCAATATACTCTACAACACCAACCAGACAATATATCACTTTAAACTATTAAAATGTTAAAAAAAAAACACATTTTCAAATGGGGGGGGGGGGGATTAAACACAAAATACCAAAAACTGCTTTTACAGATGCTTTAAAAAGCTAGGTATGTAGATATGTAGATGATCAAATCATCAACACATTTTTGTTAAGCAAAAAAACAGAAATATTTTTTACCATAATTATGTAATTATATAAAAAATGTAATTTAGCGTATAAGAAATATTGTCAAAAGTAAACCCTATTTTGAGATCAGTGTCATTTTAAATTTTAATTTGAGATTCATTTTAATTTTTTTTTATTTTTATGCTTTGCCCATCAAGAAAGGTATTTTGATCATAAAATATTACAAAATGTTGTATGACGACTTATTCTGTTATGTTATTTAATCTTTCACAAAAAGTTAAGCCAAGCTTTCATGTTTAAGCATCATTTATAAAGACGATAAGTTACTGGTGTGCATCTTGACACCAATCAATGCCACTGAAGTATTTTAAGATTGCAAGCTATTTTCAGTTAAGAAATATCAAATAAAATAAGTACGGGTCAGAAAATGTATGTGGCATTGTTGCCTATATATATCTGTTACGCTAAATAACGATGACACATTATTCCACCAATATTTTGGCATTTTGTTTTCACAGAAGTTATTTGAATATTAAATGAAGGACTTTACCAGCATACATTTTTAAGTCACAACATTTATTGAAACATTCTACTAATTTTTTACAATCTGGAATAAACACAAATGTTAATTTGATGCTGAGTTTATAGTCACACAATGCAAGAAGACATCAAACAAACAAAATCTAAACTCGCTGAACCTAACCAGTGTGTTTTAATCAGTTAAAATGACCCCATCAGTAATGTTTACATTCTTTGATTTGCATGCTATCTCGTACCCATACACAAAATCACAATGTTTTGCTAGAATATCCCTGAAAAGAATGTAAATATGAGTGTCTACATGTTCACACGCATTCAAAGAGAGCATCATGATAATCAGTTTATCAAGGGAAGAAACCAAGTTCCTAGTATACCTCACTAACTGAAACTGACTGCAATAAAATGGATTATTTTCAATCTTCAGAGAGTTGTTCCTGTTTAGACTTTGTTAAGAGGCTTGATCAAGTTTCTGGTCTGCTGTGACTACTAATGACCAGTGTGTTTAATGTTGCTTTATCATGGAAATGGAGGAAAGTTCCCTCCAGCAGTGAAGGCCAGCAGTTTAATGTTGTGTTTCAGCAGAGCGGTGTTCAATCTGTTTACTTCATCATCACAAAAAAAAGCACAAAACTATTTATTTGTTATTAGTATATACTCCTCATATACTCTTCAAATACATACAGTTGAAGTCAGAATTATTAGCCTTCCTGAAATATTAGCCCCCTGTGTATTTTTCCCCAATTTCTGTTTAAAAGAGCAGATGTTTTCAACACATTTCTAAACTTTATAGTTTTAATAACTTATTTCTAATAACTGATTTATTTTATCTTTGCCATTATGACAGTAAATAATATTGTACTAGTTATTTTTCAAGACACTTCTATACAGCTTATAGTGACATTAAAAGGCTTAACTAGGTTAATAAGGTAACCTAGGCAGGTTAGGGTAGTAAGGCAAGTCTCTGTATAATGAATAAATAAATAAATATATACAGTATCATACTAAATAAAGGTTATGGCCCTGTCCATACGAACACGGTATTTTCAAAAACACACTTTTTTTTCTATGCGGTTGCACTGTTTGTACACACGAAAACGATGTTAGGTGACTGAAACCAAAACTTTCTAAAAAAAAAACTTCGGCCAGGATAAAGATTTTCCAAAACCTTTGGATACTATAACTGGAGTTTTCATCTCATGATGTCAGGTGCCTGCTGTCTACTTCTTTCTGATTGGCCAAGACGGCTGGGTTAACATCAAAAGCGTAAGAAGTTACTAAGGCAAAATTCCACACATTTAATAATAATATTGATAAAAATAACTCCTTATTTAGTGCTTTTCTGGACACTCAATTTGCTTTACACATTTTGGGGGGGTGGGGGTGCAGCATCCACCTAGATGACGCGACGGCAGCCATATTGCGCCAGACTGCACACCAGCTGATTGGTGGAGAGGAGACAGAGTGATAAAGCCAAGTATAATATGGGGATTATAATGGAGGCCATGATGGACAGAGGCCAGTGGGCAAGTTTATTCAGGGTGCCAGGGTTAAACCCCTACTCTTTTTCAAAGGACATCCTGGGATTTTTAATGACCACAGAGAGTCAGGACTTTGGTTTAATGTCTCAACTGAAAGACGGTCCCCATCACTATACTGAAGCGACCATGTGATAGTTGCAGAGAGCTAGCTTTTAGCATTTGCGCCAAATGCATTGTATAATTTGTGTCCTTAAACCCGCGGGCCAGTAATCCGCCTCTGTTCTCACGTTTCCATTGATTTGTATGAAATCTACTTTTGCAAATACTTATTAATTTCCCATTTGGTGTGACCCCAGCATAAAAGTGTCACTATTGTCACTTATAGGTTCGACATGTCCTTAACATCCATCATAGTGCATTTTAGTATTTTCATGTGGATGGAAATGTTATTAAAAATGAAAGGGTGGAGAAAATTGTTTATAAAAATAACCGTGAATGTGTAAACATGGCCTGAGTTGACTGAGTGCGAAATCATGAGAGTTGTCTTCATTATATCCTGACACAGAAATCGTGTTCATAAATGAGCTACAGTATTGAAAACTTATGATCGTACTGTAGTTGTAAGAAGCACTAAGGCAGTACACACCAAGCTGATTGGTCAGTGTTACTTTTGCTGCATTTCTCGAATATTTGCAAAATATATGCAAACAATATGGCTTATTAGATAATCAGAAAATCCCACCGTGGCGAGTAATAAGTACTGTGAAAATGGTACTAAATGCTGCTTTGTTTATGGTTTGTATGTGTGCATCAAATGTTCTGGTTTGCCTTTGTGGAATGAGAAAATAGATTACTGGATCATGCGTGTGAGGACAGAAACATCTTCTCATGCAGACACAGAACATATGCTCTCATTTAGTTGGTTTTTGTCTGTTTGTTGTGTTCACTGTAGCATTTTGGTACAGATGGAACCAAATGCAGTTGATGCGATCTGATAACACAGTTGGCTTTTGTCGCCACTAGCTCTTTGCCATTAACTTGGTGTGTCCCGGCGAAAGCCGTCAAGCGATTTTAGACCACTAAAGCAGTTGCTGATGAAAGGCAAGCGTGACATGGGACAAAAGTAGCATAAGGCAATAAGCATGGCTTTTATACTGTATCATGCAAAGTATATTTTAGGTTTTTTTTCATAATGCTGCTCTGTGCAGTCTAATAAAACACACAACATATTAAAGCACCTTTGTTGTGTGGTAACATTAGGATGGTGACAAGGTCCCTGTCACTAGTTAAAATAGCCTATTTCTGTGGATTTGAACATTCCTCAAAACATTCAGGATAATGTAAATACATAAGTCAGCAAAATATGTTCAAGTGGTTTTTGGATATTTAGTTTTTTTATACCTTACATATTGTATCTTTAAGAATATTAGACAGTTGTATTCATAGATGTGTTCATCACAGCAACAAATGACTGAAGACTTAATAAACTGCTTATTGTCAAACATAAATGTGTTCAGAAGATAATCTGATGATAATCCACTTCATGTCTGAAATATTGATTCTTATTTCTTCATAGGCCTGTTTGTTAAAACTTTACAATCAGAGTCACTATTTGTTAACAATAAAAATAACTAGCATTTATTGATCTTAGGTAATGTTAATTTCTTAGTCAATAAATATATATAAAATCAAAAGTCATATCTGTTCAATTGTATTTTAAACTTACATAAGCACCATAACTTCAGTAATAGATGTTGCAATTTATTATCAATATTTTTTTAATTTACTTTTGCTGTTTTTGCATTTATTGTGATAGGAAGATTGACAGGAAGGGAAGTTGTAGAGAAAGAGTGGGTTGGGATTGGTATAAGTCCACGAGATCAATCTAGTACTTGAGACCTCGTAGCACAGTTGCACTATATTGTATGTTGGCACACTGACTACTCATAGTTCTGACAAATGTAGCTATTTCTTACAGTTTATGTTAGCTAATGCATTAATAACATTTTCTAATGAGACATTTTACTAAAGTGTTACCTATTATAACTTGATAATCCTTATGCAAATTAATTAGTGTTAAAACTATTGTTCACTCTGATCATCAACATATCTCATGATAATACCATACATTGTGGTAAACTCATAATTATCGCAACGAAACTGTGATACATACACTCTATGCCTAGAGCCAGGTGATTACATTCATCATTCTCTACATTTATCTTCAAGTAACATAATGAGCCATAACAAGTGGCTTGTTCACATTGTTAGCAAATTGGCTTCTCTTTTGTGTGAACTTGAATAGCATGAGCGACAAGTCACAACAGAACCGTTACTTTCTGCTTGACCTGCATTTTGTTCAGTGTATCCCACAGCATGTCCCAACTAGACATGTGGTGTAGAAATAAAAGATCTGAAGAAAAACCAGCAATACCTGTGTGTACCATTCTTGAAATGAACACACTCACACGAACACACTCACATGCATGCCCATACACACAAATATATGCACAAATATACGAACAAACACATGCGCACACAAATCTGTTTAATATATCCCCTAAATAAATACAATAGTTCACATCCTAGTTTTCAATTTTATGAAAAACATAATATTCTGCAATCATGAAAAGCTTTTTTATTCTTTAACAAATGGCCATAAAACTAAAATTTTTCTTTAATAAATAGATTTTTTCCAAAGCTGCTGTAAAAACAGTCTAATCTTATTAAAAACAAAAGAGTATAAAAAACTAAATAAATATGAGTTTTTTTTCAACCACTAATAAGCATTGTACAGCACTTTTCAAAACACATCACATTGCAGCCAAACAAAAGTCTATGCAGAGTAGACATAGGACATAATCGGTTTTAGGGTTTAAGGTTTTGTTAAGTCAAGGTTTTAAAAGCATTAAAACTTTCTTTTATACCGTTCCTAAGGTATTTGTAACTATTTTCTCGAGTTATTTTAGGGCAACCATAAAAAAAGGACCCTCCACATCACTTACTAGTCAGTCCATGATTTAGGAAACATCTGAAAAATCTCTTATAAACCAACATCCTGCACACTTTAGAGCTGAACAGTGCAGCGGTTTACTTTATATCGAAGGAAAAGAAAGATATCCAAAGATGTATTTTCAAGTTGAAAAGAAATCTGTGTTTTTGAAACGAATTAAGACTGCAGAAGTCAATGACTTATTTAAATTATTTAGCCTGACATTTATTGTTTTAAAACATTTGAATTGTTAAAATATCTACCATGTTCAATGGGGAAAGAGCTGTTGTTTTTTTTACCCAGACATTTACAAAAAACTTATTTTAGAGCAGTATTTACAATACTGTGATATTGTGAAACAGTGATATTTTTACCCAAGGTTATTATACCATCAGAATTTTATACCAGCCTATGCCTAATGCAGAGCAAACTGCAGCAAAAAACCCCTCTGTTTTCAGCATTTTCTTTACATGCTAACAAACTAATTTCAAATTCAATTCAATTCAATTCAGCTTTATTTGTATAGCGCTTTTACAATGTAGATTGTGTCAAAGCAGCTTCACATAAATCTGTTAACTATAGTTTAAAGACAGACTAAATTCCATGCATTTTGTTCCATATTTATCTATAACAGAAAAAATCTTAACAGAAAATGATAGAAGCATTCCAAGCCAATTGCAATTTCAGCTAAAACCTCCTATTTAGACATTTTTTTATGACCTTGTTTTGAACCATGAGAAGTGATTAGGAGGCGATTGTGCACCATTTCTCAGTTACATTAATTCCAGCAGGCACAAGACGTCAACATCACATCAGACTGACGTTGCACGTTTGTTTAGAAATGAAAATCGGCTTGATGTCAGAACCCAATGTCAGACCGATGTTAATGTTCAGCATCTGACAGATGTTGCATTTTGGTTACATTCTAATGCAACCTAAAAACAACAAAATATTAATGTCTGATGATGTTACAGCTTAATGTTGGGTGGACGTTACCACTATGATGTCTATCAGGCATTGGATTTGATTGCCATTTGGTTGCCATACCTGATGAATAAAAGTCAATATTTGACATCAACATGACGTTGGTTTAAGATATTTGCTCGGTGTTAGATTTTGGTCACTTTCAAACACAACCTAAAATCAACAAAAATCAATGTCATTACACGTCAGTATTGGATGTCAAAAAAACATTGTCCTTAGATGCTGACAACCTAAATCTAACCTAATGTTAGTGTCTTTTGAGGTTGTGTGTCTGCTAGGATAGCACAAATTATATGACAACACAGGTGAAATTTGGAAGCTTTGATGATAACGGAACTACAAACGCACAGAATTGTGTATGTAAGGAACAGAATTACCGCACAAACCTGTTACAGTACATGTGAGCAAATGTAGTTCAGTTCTGCATGTTGGTGATCTAGTTTGGGCAACCAAGGCTGTCTTGGTTGACGGACAGTGTAAATGTGTGGTGGAAATTTTTAGAATAGGCCAAAGGAAAATTTAGGTCTCAGAAGCGCTGTGCTTTTTCTGCAAGATGCTCAGAGAAAAGGTAGAAGATGAAAGGAGGCTTTTGTGGCTGAGCTACTGGAGATAAAAGTAGAAACACGGCGGTCATAATGTGTGAATGGAAAAACATGTTGTGCATGAGCCACAGTTGGTCAATTTAACATTCAGAGTTCATTCATATGCAGCTTTTTGCAGTAGGCCACGTTATGCAGAAATAAATATTAATTACTAATCGATTGTATAATCTGTTATTGAATTTTTGGCTGCGGTGCTTTCTTCAAATATAAATTACGATGGCATTTTTAAAAATAGAGTGCATATTATGTGACACCTGTTGTGCCCTTTTAAATAAAAAAATAAAATAAAAATATTTTTTAAAATTTAAATAAATTTAATTTAATTTAATAATATAGAATTTTCATATAATACAATATATATATATATAATTATAACTGTATTTAATGTGTAATTTCTTTTCTTGTAATTATTTCAAAAATAATTATATTACAAACAGCGTACAAAATTCATCACTATATGAACTTTAACATTGTGTATAATTTTACAAATAAACAACAAATCCTGATGGAGATTAACCAAATGAAGGAAAACATCCTGAATGAATGAACAAATAAATTAGGAAATGAATAGAAGCAATATAAAGGAATGAATAAGTATTACTACTAGATATACAGTATAATACACATATATGTGGTATAATGTATATCAAAGCAAAAACCATGTGCTGGTGTGCTAGAAACAGCAGTTTAAACAGAGATTTACATCCAAGCTAAAATAATTAGCGTATTTAAAGTCTATAGTGTGCAGTTTTCTATGTGAATAGCTGTAACAGATGAGACTGTTGATCTGTAACTTGCAAAGGATGCTGATGTTAAAGACCTCTTTGATCAATTAGTAATGGAAAATGCTGTCAGTCAACCACAAACACTCAGGACAGGATGTTTGAGTGTGTACAACTTCCTGTTCATGTACTTAGAGTGCATTGTGCCAGTTTTTTTGTTTCTTTCTTGGGCGCAAGTTTGTACATATAGGAATATATTGTGTATAGGTTGTTGACATATTTTTCAAGTGCACACAGCTCTCTTGTGTAGCTGCTTGTATCTTTTGTGTTCATTATATGAATACAAATGTATTATAAAACTAATATTTGGTTGTTTAATGTTTTTTTGTTATTGTGCTTATGTCTTTTTCAGGAGAAACCTCACTAAGTTGTCGCTCCTCTTCAGCCACATGTTGAATGAACTACGAACAATATTTCCTGGAGGACGATTTCAGGGAGATACTTACCGAGTTACAAAGACAGAGGCCAAAGAATTCTGGAGGAAAACTTTTGGACACAAGTATGAAAGATTATTTACTTGGGTATTATTTACTTTAATGGGGCCATGAACAGAATTTTTTGTTTCTTTAATGTTTATATACAAGTTATAAAAACTTACCATTCATCTATTATACATTTACTCAATGTGCATTAACATTTGAATGAGCTTAAAAACAATTCTGCACATGCACAAATGTACACTGCATACAGGTCATCTATGCAGTTATTAGTGAATGAGACCCAGTTTTACACACATTTGTGTGTTAAATCATCCAGTATAGACATCACTACATCATCTTTCACTTGAGGTCTCTGTAAAAAACCTGAATCAAACTTTCTTGTTTAAAAATAAATAAAATGAAAGTAAAATGAAGTGAACAAGGAAATCATATTTTACTGTGTTATAAAAAAACTGTTAATTGGTAGTTGTCTATAGCTTGTGATTTATAGGTGTTTACCAAGACATTCAAACTGCATCATGTGACCTTGATCTCTGCATTGATAGCTTTTAATGTTGAAAATTTAACTCTTAAACAAATTAGTGACTTTAGTATTTTGAATGATTTTCTGTTAGATTAGATAATAGATTTCCCCTTGTTATGCTTTAAACGGCATCTATGATGAAAATCATCTTTTGTAAGCTGTTTGGACAGAACTGTGTGTATGTATAATTTGTCCACAGTCATGTTGGAGTGATAGAAACACAATAAGTCTCTTTTTTAAATTTCCTGACGTTATAATAGGATCCAAATCCCTCTCATTTTGAGGCCCACTGCAACGTGACGTAGAAGTGCTGTTTTCCCTGCCCACCAAATTGATTGACGGCTGCGTATTAACACGTCCCTGTAGTAACATGTATTATCATATCAACAAGACAGGATGAGCGCAAATCAACTGGGATTAACAGATCTGTTCAGCTCACTATGATCATCAATCTTCACCAAATGTGATTAAGAATGAGTTTTACAAGTTTAAAACATAAAACAGTACACGTTTGTAATGAATTACAGCGATTTACCTCAGCTTTACTACTGAAGTATCAGCACAGCCGCGTGTCAGTACAATAATAAAAGAAGATGCTTCAATCCCCGTTTGTGGACGTTAAATCAGGTTTATTTTGTACATCAGCACAACTGTACAGCAGTGTCGATTAACGTGTATACTGTCACAAAAACAGTGCAAAGTTTAACACGTGTGCTTGGTGTGTGTCTGTGTGTTTGTGCTTGAACTTTGTAACAACATTTTGTGTGAGTCATCGTCACAGAAAGGCTTGAATTAACTCCACAACAAATACATCAAGCAATCATTGGGAAAGGTCTAAGATACAACTAATGAAAATCTGGAATTCAAACTAATCAAAACATTGAGAAAATTGCCTTTAAAGGTGTCTAAATTAAGCTTTTAGCAACACACTACTAATCAGTAAGTTCTGATACATTTACAGTTAGTAATTTACATTTTATTTTTCACAAAAGGGCGTCTTTATTTAATTTTCTTGGCATGCAGACATTTTTAAAATTTTGACCTACATATTTTGGCAATTCCTGAAAATATACTCATGCAACATAATACTGGTTTTGTGGTCCAGGGTGACATTTACCCAGAACCTGAACTGTAAAAAGTGAAAACAAAAAAAACCTTGTACACCTAAATGTCACGATCACCAGTGATCGACTTCAGGCAGATCACTAGTTAACTATACATCAAAAATAACAAACTACAAATCCCATCATGCCATTTCACACACACCAGTTGCCGATCACCTGGTGAATTGCTGAGAGGGGTCTGGCTGCAGACCTGGTGCAGTGAGATCTGGGCTGCATCCAATGCTTTTTAATAGGCTCACCTAACCCCACCCCTAACCCTATCCATCACAGTGACGTCACAAGCTCCATTTGAGTGCATTGTGTCTGACATTGCATCGCTGTGTGATGCAGTCTCAGCTTGCATCAAAAAGGCTGCATCCAGATACTATTGTAATCGCTGGTGATCAAGACACTAAACCAGTGATATAGGGCCCGAGGGCCAAATTGCCCCGTGATAACTTTTGATTTGGCTGGCCATCCCATCTGAGAAGAAAGGAAGAATGATGGAGATGTTTCGATGATTTATTGTTAACTGAAAATAAATGTTTCAATTAAATGGCGTAAATTAATCAGGCTTTGTTTAAATGTACACACTGTCACCTGAAAATGGATGATAAATGAAGTTGATGAAGAACGATGTTTAATGTATTCAGCATTGAACTCCACTGTGTTATAAATGTGATTGTTTATGTTTTTATCGCAGTTATAATTTTTAAAAGTTATACTGCATTAGTTAATATGATTTAAAGTAATGTTTTCTATTTATTTAAAAATATTATTAAATAAATTAGGAAAGTACCCATGGCAACTTTGATTTAATATAGTTTGGTATGTTTACCTTTGAACCAAGGCTTTCAATGATATTTGGTTTTGGCCCTTCATGATTTTGGCCCTCTGTACTAAACCTACACCTTGTTACAACTACAACTATAATTTCTTAGGAAGCAGTGTCCAGGAAGTTTTGAAATACACAGAAACTATAATGACTTCAATATGTCAGTAGATCAAGGGAAATTTGAGGTCACTTAAATGTATGTTGTAGACAAACCTTTTAGATGTATTTCTGGCCAATGATTATCTCTGTCTCTTTTAGGTGTATAGTGCAGTGGAATGTTTTTAAACAGCAGCTGAAGAGGGTACATTACTTTGAAGAGGGAATGGAGGCCATGGCTTTGAAGTCCACAGTTGATCTAACCTGTAACGATCACATATCCATCTTTGAGTTTGATATTTTCACCAGACTTTTTCAGGTATTATAAGTTTGAGAGATTCCATGAATACAGTTTTTTTGTTACTTATTAGATCTGATTTTAATCGTAGAAAATAAAATTTGCATGATGACAAATAATTTTAACCCCATCAAAAAGGCATTTTAAACTGTTTGAATTTTTGACTGTATTTAACAATTAAATTATACAATACTGTTGTCTAATAGGCCATTGTGCAAAATATAAACAAGCCTAAAATGATCATTTTAAAAGCTTTTTTATATTTTTAAAAATTTTACTATTTAGGTAAAAACTGTTCAAATAGCACCTATTATGGATGAAATAGGGTCATATTTTGGGTGTATGGGTCTCCAACAACAGTCTAATATGCATGCAAGGTCAAAAACACTTTTGTTGTCTTTTAATATGCATTTATTTTTACCTAAATATTCCAGCGTCTCATTCAGAAATTCATTAGTTCCCAAACCCCTCCTTAGCGCGAAGCTAATCTGCGCTAATTGGACCGATGACAGCCTGTTGCTATTGGTCGACAGCGTTCAGCTGTAGTCTGTAGCAGTAGTCTTTTCTGATCCTTCCTTCAACAAACGGCCGATGAGTTATCCGTTTTAAGCATGTAGATTTCAGAAGCACTCAAACAGCACAAGGCTGGGCTATAATGCTGAGGTAATGTTGGAAAAATAAACCTCAACCACTGACTCTTCACAGTTTCATCTTTGTTAGAGAAAATTGCACTAACTTTCCCTCACACTTCCAGTAATATTTAGCTGAGCACAGCATTAATTCAACCGGCGTCTGCCACAGTGTGGGCGGGACTGCAGATTTCAATTTTCCCAGGTTTGGGCATGCAACAACCGGGCGGGGCTTAAGTCTTGTATCCACATCATGCCGAAACGGCTCAAGACTCATTATCAAGACGATTCATTTAAAGTGCTAGGAGTCGACACTATTATAAATGAATCAATAGTTTTAAACACTATCATTGTCATTCTCAAAAACCCAAAATAGGGGCTCTTTAATAAACATGTGAGGCATTACTTCATCATTCGCAACCTGACTTTTCATTTTTTTAACTGGCTTTTGTTTTAAATCAATAATCATTTAATCAAATTAAAATTCAAGGATTAAACTGAATCCCTCTGCCCTAATGCTGTAATGTACATCTCCTATTCATATTTATTACAGTAAAAACTTAAAATCTTATTACATATTTAATAATTTTAACCTCCTTATTTACACTATAACAAATTTATTGACGTTTTGCCTAAAACATTGTAATTTCAGTCTATTGATGAATAATTTCTCTCTGTATTATGTAATATTAATATTCAATTTAATGTTGACAATGTTGGAAGCTTTGACCAGTGATGTGTTGCAGCTGGAAGGGCATGCACTGCGTAAAACATATGCTAGAGTAATTGGTGGATCATTCTGCTGTGGCGAACCCTTAACAAATTAGGGACTAAACTGAAGAAAATGAATGAATGAATATTAGCCTAATGGAACGTGAATAGAATATAAAACAAATAAAATACATTCAGAATATATTTCTTATATATATATTTTTGTGCTCATGGAAAGTGCCAGTAATGCATCGATTCCTCTTTTTTCATTTTCTGTGAACGACTTATTCATGCATGTAATGTTTGATTTTCCCTTATAGCCTTGGTCAACATTAATAAGGAACTGGAACCATTTGGCAGTAACTCATCCTGGATATATGGCTTTTCTCACCTATGACCAGGTCAAGGCTCGACTGGAGCACTACAGACATCGTCCCGGCAGGTGAGACATATATGGGTTGTTGTAATTTAGATTTTTGCAAAAAGACCGAGAAGCAATAGTTATGTTTATGTAGTTTAAAGTCTGATGTTTGAGAAATTATAAGGGTCACTAAATGTATAAATTCTTTCACTGTTTTTTTGTACTCTTTACTGAACTGTCTGTATTGTAATAACATGGAGTAACATTTCGGGCCCTATCATACACCCGACTCAATGTGGCGCAAGGCGCGGCGCAGTAATCTTTTGGTAGTTACAACTTGGCGCAAGAGTCGTTTTGAGGCGTTGCGCTACGCTGTTTAAATAGCAAATGCATTAGCGCTCATATATGCGCCCATAGGCGTTCTGGTCTAAAAAGGAAGGCGTTCTGAGGCGCACTGCTTGCGTCTTAGTTTTTGAAACTAAAATAGATTTTTCATTAGACCAAAACTATCTAAAATCCGGTGCAGAGTTGCGCCTCTCTTACACACTGCTTAATACGCACAAGAGAGCAATGGGCAAATATCTTTACTTATGAAAAAATTTAAATATTAAGGGAATATATATAGGATATAATAAGAATAGATATAGGATATAAATATAAAGGATTGAAATATTATAAAACATATTATTTTCTAGCTTACATAAATATGAAAAATCACTGCTTTTATGTCTTCTTCATCTCGGGAGGCTTTTTCAGTTCATTCATAACAATTTGCTTTTGTATGTTATTAATATTAGCAGTATTATTTATTATATCCATATTTATGTTTGTTTTATTAAAAACAAGCTTAGATTTGCCCACCTGTCAGGTTTTAGACCATATGGGGCACAGCATGTGTTTTAGGATATAACTCAGGTTTTTGAGCACACTTCGTTAATATTGTTCATTTATTCGTTTGCTGGAAATTAGAACTGAATTTAGAAATAGCTTTTAAACGAATATTTGCGCTTAACAAACGCAATTAATTATTTATAGACTAATTGATGTCTGTGCATAAAGGTTTCCCTATCCAAGAGCGAAATTGAAAGTAGATCCATCTCTCATTCTCACGCAGTAGATGCTCTGTTTAACAGTTTTCTGTTAAAAAAAAAAAACTGTTAACTGTTAACTGTTTGCTAGTGAAATGCTCAGTTTTTCCACTTAGACTTACTTTGCGTCCTGTAAATAGCGAATGCGCTTATGGCACGACGCAGCTGGCTCTTAAAGGGAATTGGAGATGAGACTCTAATTGATTTATTCTCAAAACACACCTATAACTCATTAAGAAAATAAACTCAACCCTTTTAGACCATGCGCCACGGCGTAAAGCAGATTTTCCCATCCTTAAATTAGCAAAAATGCATTCCGACACGCCCTGAAAGCGTTTGCGCCCTGCGTTTTGCGTTCTGCACATGGACCGTCAAAATAGAGCCATTCAAAAATTAAGAAAGATTTTAGTCCTAATAATACACAAAAAGTTTGAGAGTTATCTATTTTCATTGTTGCACCCTTTTTGTTTTAGGTCACACTTTATTTTGATGGTTCGTTTGTTGAATATAAGTTACATTTCAACTATTTCTCAGTAGATTATAAGTAGACTGTTAGGTTGGGGTTAGGGTTAGTGTAGGGGCAGTATCAACAAATATTAAGCAGACAGTCTACTAATACTCAAATGGACCATCAAAATAAAGTGTTACCTTGTTTTATATGAAATTATGAATAATATTTCCATGAATTGTCAGACATGTTGGAAATATTTAATAAACAGCGGTGTCACACAAAAAACAAAACGTAACAATTTTAAAGTTGATCCAAATAAAGTTAACTGGTGCACGTCATGGACTTAACAGTGGGCTTCAGTCACATGATCTTGAATGGGGTCCTTCAACTAATTAAAGTTTTTATATAAAATTAGCATATAGTGCCACACCAGAGGACATTTTAGTGATAAAATTTATCAAGTTTATATGTTTTCACATATTATGGCATTTTACATATTATGGCATTTACTAAAATAGCCACTTGTAAAATTAGACCTAAGGTAGCATTAATAATTTTTGCTATTTTGATTTTAAATTATAAGAGCTGTAATTTACTGAACTATGCTTCAGGCGGTCTCAACAAAGGACAGTTTTGAGATTTTGCTCAAAATGTAGCAAGACATGCAATTTTATAACATGCCATGGCCATATCACTCTGCAGCCCACTGAAGCTAAGCAGGGCTAAGCCTGGTCAGTACCTGGATGGGAGACCACATGAGAAAACTAGTTTGCTGTTGGAAGTGGTGTTAGTGAGGGCAACAGGGCACGCTCAACCTGTGGTCTGTGTGAGTCCTAATGCCCCAGTAAAGTAAAGTGGACACTATACGGTCAGCAAGTGCCCTCTTTTAGATGAGACGTTCTGATACTCTGTGTATACTGTAAGGGTATAACCCTGTTGTCCTGGCCAAATTCACTCCATCGACACTTACCCATCATGGCCTCCCAATGATCCCTATCCTCTGAATTGGCTCTACCCCTGTTTTTCTACTACAACCAAAGCTGGTGTGTGGGGAGCGCACTGGTGCTGTTGTCCTGTGTCTGCCGCCTCATTATGCTGCACACTGGTGGTGGTGTGGAGAGAACCCCCTTATGATTGTAAAGAACTTTGTGTATATGGCCATACACAATAACTGCGCTATATAAATACACATAACAGTACATTAAATTACAACAAGAGGTACATGGAAGATAAATAAATGTAATTATATAAATTAATTATATTCATTTTTGTCATGTACTATCATGTTTATGCATGTCATGTTTACTGTCCTGTGACAGTAAAACAGCAAATCTGGTAAATGAGCATGCGTATTTAATAGCATGATGTCTTATTACATATTTTAGTTGTCAAATGGTTGGTTTTAATTTGCCTTAGTTTTAATCCATTTACGTATTGTGGTTTAGACTCAATCTGGCATTCTCTGTACGTCCACAGCTACATCTTTCGTCTCAGTTGCACACAGATGGGTCAGTGGGCCATTGGTCATGTGACCAGTGATGGAAGTATTGTGCAGACCATTCCCCAGAATACACCTCTCTACCAGGCACTCATACAAGGTTTCAGGGAAGGCTGGTGAGTTTGTAGTCTAATATTATTTCAGGAAAAAACTAACGGTAATTGTATCTGAATTGTCTGTTACAATCTGAAATATTTGTCTTTGCAGCTACTTATACCCTGATGGTCGTGATGTGAATCCTGACCTCAGCAGCCTGTGCAGTCCAGTTCACAAGGGACGAGTCAAAGTCACAGAGGTAATAGAAAACTATTAAATCAGCGTTGACAATGACTTCTGATTGGCTTAGGTCTTTTATCTTTTAATATTAATGTTTTAAACTCTTTCTTCTCATTTAAACTCATTCTTCAGAGGAAATCGATTAAACCACTCCAGTTCATGAAGATATGTTTTAGCATATTTTTATGACTGGTTTAAAGCCTCTGAGTTTTGGATAAATAGAGAGTTCTGAAATCAGATTTTCATGTATTTTTATATGAATATAAGTTTTTTATTTTAACTCATTGTGATGAATTTGAAATTAAATGAATTTGAAAACACAGTTAACTGTCTGACCTCTCCCCTCTTTAATCAACAGATTGCCACAAACACTTTTGGCCCACTTTTCAAATGCATCTTTTTACTTCTATGTAAAAAATCCTTTGTTTCCATTCTTTTTTCAGGAGCAGTATGAATTATATTGTGAGATTGGTAGCACGTTTCAGCTCTGCAAAATCTGCACCGAACGAGACAAAGACACTCGCATTCAGCCCTGTGGGCATCTACTGTGTCAGCCCTGCTTGACTGGCTGGCAGGTATATCATGTGCAAACCTTTACATTGCTCCTATTCACACTCACACAGCAATTATAGTGAGGTTACACCCAAAACCCACATTCAGAACAGCTATATTTTGTTTTACTTCGTTGGTGCAAAACATTATAAACAGAACCCTTTCAAATACAATAAACCATTAACATTAACTAAAAATTGAGCACTTGCCTAAAGCCAGGTATTTCAGAAAACAGCAATGCATGAAATATAAAGTTTACCACACTGTCATGCAACATGACCTGACAGTTTGGCTTAGGCTTCCTGCCTTTGTTTGATGTGTGACTGATTTTCCACTTCTCTCAAGTAGAAGTCACACTTTCATTGCATGCTGAGATAACATTTACCTTAGAGAAAAGAGGACGTGATGAGTTTCTGTAGTCCTACATCTTTAAATATAACACATTGCGTAACTCATTCTAGCTAGAGCATCGTGTCTTTTCATGTATTGTGCATTACCTTGCTGAAGTAGTATGTTCAATTTTGTCTGTCATTTTTTCTAACCTTCAGAAGTCAGATGGACACACATGCCCTTACTGCCGCTGTGACATTAGAGGCACAGAATCCATCCTCATTGAGCCCTATTTGCCTATTCGAGACAAAAGGGCAGAAGAGGAGGAGGAAGATGATGAAGATGATGATGATGATGAGGAGGAGGATCATGAGGATATTGAGCTAGTGATGAAAAAGCTGGCATGTATGAAGAAGGTAAGAATATGTTATTGTGAAATTAGGAGATCTTTGCTAGGCCTGTTCACATTTTAAAGTCTGCCTGAACCGAACAGTGCTGCCACTTTTATGGCACTAGTATGTTGATTTATTTTTAACTGATAGTGAATATTGAGGCTGTTTTTTATTTTTTATTGGGGCTTTCTTTTTGCTTATCATTCCCTTGTAGCAAACTAACGGTAAGAGGGGCGTGGTTAAGAATATAAGAGAGGCGTGTGAAAGAATGGAACAGTGTGTGAAAAAAACAAAAACAAACAAAAACGTTGTGAATTTTGGTTCATTCTAAACTCCAAGCAAAGTTTGTAGGTAATTGAGTAAACATTTCTAGTGCTAATAATTCAGTGTTTACAATTAATCCTGTGTATTCATATTCTGGCATTTTATACTTCCTAAACGCTTCTTTAACACATTTTTTCATATTTACATTTATCTTTCATATTTACTTACTGGTCTTCGTCTGATTGTATAAAAATAACAAGCAAATTCTTTATAAGTGTTCAGTTTTGTATACTTGTATACAGGACTTGACATTAACTTTTTTTGATCACCAGCTACTGTGGCTAGTAGTTTTCCAACACTACTAACCACTCCCCATTTTCACTAACCCCAATAGATATATTTTATATGCAGATATTTGACTTTGGCATGCTAAAATTACTTGATTTAAATTTTGTGTTATGTTTATATGCCTTTTTTTATTTCCCATGATTTTTTGGTGATCAACACTAAGGATTTACCTTTTTTTTCCTCTGACCACACCAAATTAATTATTTCCTTGTCATTTAATATTTTTTAAATGTGTCAAAACAGGCTAAATATAGCTGTGTACATACACTTTTATTCTACGAAAAATTTCTTAAAAAACAATTGACATTTAAAAAATATATTTAAATTTATTTAAAACTATGCACAGTAGTTTGTACAGGCTAATTGTCCCAAATCATCAGCTAACTACAGATAAATGGGGAGTTATTTTGCTGTTAATGCAATGTTATTTTAAAAGATAATAACTAAATCATCATAACAAAAATAACTGTAAGCAAAAGAAAGCAGGTTAAAAACATTCTGTGCGTGACAGTGAATGGGTGATCCCTCGTTCCATTAATACCATTAATAATCTATTCAAAGAATTGATTTCTTGAAAGCAGCCGAATTGTGGGTGCCCGAGCACCATTTGCATTTCCAAGCATGGTTGTCTTGCACAAGGAAAGGGGAGCTTTTAAGCACTCGTGGGCTTCATATCAGCTGTGTCCCACCTGTGTCTCACTGTGCACCTGATCATCCTCTCATTTGGTATTCACCTGCTTTCTTTTGCTCACGTGAACAGTTATCAGTCGTGCTGCTTCTCGATTCTAAGATCACATTTGCGCGCATATTGACAAACACTCTTAAACTAAAGTGCTAGTCTTCAGGGACAACGCAGCTCTGGCAAAGTAAAACATTTTTTCAACTAGTCGAAGTGGCTAGTAGGTGTGTCTGCTTAAACTGCCACAGCTGAAATCTACCCACATTTGGCAGGCTGGCAGGTGTTGCTGCTTGTATATTATATATTGCCAAACTGTGCTATGAAGTTGTTACTAAATGGGCTTTTTCAGACTGTAAACATAAGAATAAAATTCTACTTTATTTGTCAAAATATCTGTCACAAATTTACTTTTTATTTGCTCTTGAACAGTGAAACAACTGTTTAAATGCAACAATATGCTTCAGTCACTGTTGTCAGTTTAAAGTATAAAATCTGATGTGAGTAAAGTAGTCTTACCATTGTAAACAATTAACACTGTATACAGTATATATGGCTCCACAAAGTGGGGTTAACATCGCTAAAACCAGATAAAAACCTATATGCTAACTCTTCTTCTGTATTGTGAAATGCAAATACAGATACAAATACAGATTACCCAGCAATCTTTTTTTGTGTTTAAAAGAAATCAAATTGACATCCAAAAACCATGGCTAAAACAAGGTTGGTCTCCCATTAAATATGTCTAACAATAGTCTATTCCCATGCTAACTGTCTCTGTTTCACTGATGCAGTGTTGTTGCTTATTTTTAAAAAATATATGGTCATATTTGCCATAACTTTGCATGATCAACTCAGAGTTCAACCGTTAAATCAACTCAGAGTTCAAGTTAAAACTCCGAGTTTGTTTCGGATTTACTGAAACAGGCCCCTTGTCTATTGTTTGTATTTTTTTTTGGTTTGTTTCATCAACCACATTCACACAAATTGTCTAGATTTGACCTTGTCTTTTGAAACAAAAAATATTCAGACAAACAGGTACACACTTACATAATTGTGCTACAGTGCAATGGAGAGATTATGGGTGATTAAAGACATTATAAATAGGTAGTAAATTGGTTAGAGATTTATAAACTTATTTCTACGATAATTAGTTGTGAATCCTACTTCCATTCATAACATTTTCCTCATTATTCACTGCCTTCAAGCTTCAACCATATTTTCACATATAGCAAGATCTGCGCTGAATGCTCCTTCTAGGCAGTATTTGCTACATAGAAGTTATAACCATAATTAAAATATGAAACTGTAAAATGCTAACTGTTGGGACATTAATTGTGGTGTGCATGCTAATGATGCTTTACCTCAAAGGGTGGTTAATTATGTTTCTCTCTCATTATTACAGATATCGCAGGAGGAGTATCAAATTCCCCGTTCCAGTCTGTCACCTCCTCCCCTTCCTCCTAAAAGAAATTCATCCTCTCCATGCCCTTCTCCTAAACCACAAACACACCGATCCTTTAGCTTGGGTGCACAGGTCAGTCAGTCCATCTTGATGGTTCTATCCATAAATATGCATGCCTTATTAGTGGAATTTCAATTTTTGAGTTTTTACAACTCAGTGATGTCTGTCCGTTCATCCATGTTATGTAATTATTGATATCATTTTGTAGTTGGTAACCTGATAATAGAATAATATTGTTTCTTTTGTTAAGTGATAACCTTAAGTGGTCCATAAATGAATTCAAACTAAATCAGATGCCTTATTCTCTCAGAAAGTCAAAAACAATTCCTGGTCAGAAAACATGCGAAGGAAACCTTCCTCAAAAAGGTAAACTATTTTCAAAATAAGGAATATTTTTTTAGCTCATATCCTATCCATAAATTAGATTCTTTTCAACCATGTCAAGCTTTCCAACAACTATCTGGCAATAATCTATAAATGTATTAGCATCATATCCTCTGCTAAGACATCTGTGTGAACTTGATGGGAAATGAGGTCATGCATCCACTAAAAATAACTGATACTATAAAAGGATAATAGCCTGTGGCATTGTGAGTGAAAACTATTTTCAAATGTTTCAATTAATGTCTTATTCTTATCTGCCTAAGCAAAAATTAAAGAGTAGACTATTTTAAACTATTTTCACTGTTAAACTAAGCTTATTTAGAAATTAATTACGAGAGGATCACATTCTTATGATTGACCACGGCTGGTCCTGCATTAGCTAACACATGATTTACCAATCAGATGAGACCTAACACACTATAAATAACAAAAGTTTCTTACCTCAGTTATCTTCGTCTTGAAGAATCCTCTCTTCCACCCCTACTACTACTACTACTACTACTACTACTACTACTACTACTACTACTACTACTACTACTACTGCTGCTGCTGCTGCTGCTGCTGCTGCTGCTGCTACTACTACACCTCCGTGAAGTTGGCACCCCATAAAAACAAATAATCCCCAAAACTATGCCATTCGTTTGTGCTACGTTTGTGCTGATTTGTGCCGCAAAAACGAACGTTTGTGCTGGTTTGGGGTCTGAGATATTAAGCATTATTTTTTTAACCGTGTGACGTCACTCTCCACCCCATGTTGCGCAATTGACTTCAAAACAGCACAGGTCGTTTGTGCTCGGTTTGTGCTGGTTTGTGCCGTTAAAACGAACACGGTATCTGTTTTCCTCTTTTAGATATAAGCAAAATATTTCGGGAGCCGTGACGTCACTCTCCACCCCATTTCCTCCAAATTGCACAAAACTGGTATCATTCGTTTGTGCTGGGTTTGTGCTGGTTTGTGCCGTTAATATAAACACTTTATCTATTTTCGTTGTTTAGATATAGCCAAAATATTTCGGGAGCCGTGACGTCATTCTCCACCCCATGTTGTCTAAATCACACCAAACTGGTCTCATTCGTTTGTGCTCGGTTTGTGCTGGTTTGTGCCGTTAAAATAAACACTTTATCTATTTTTATTGTTTAGATATTGCCTTATCAAAACATTTCGGGAGCCGTGACGTCACTCTCCACCCCAGGTTGTCTAAATTGCACAAAACAGGTGTCATATGTTAGTGCTCGATTTGTGCTGGTTTGTGCCGTTAAAATAAACACTTTATCTATGTTTATTGATTAGATATTGCCTAATCAAAACATTTCGGGAGCCGCGACCCAGACAGCACACATACGTTGGGCCGACGTCGTGCCGATTTTCAAAACTCCATCGGTGCGATGTCGCTCAGGGAGCGTTTGCTAATTGGCAAAATGTCGCCGCGACGTCGGCAAATGATCGGAAACGCTGTCCGGCCGACGTTAGGACGACGCAACCGGAAATACCGGCCGCTCCGCGGAGGCGCTGTTCTCAGGCGTTTTGCTCATACTTATGGACCACGTTGCAGCAGCTGCTTATTTATAATAAACACGACACACCACTCTCAATAACAGTTGAAGATTTATTAATATTTTTCACAAACATACAAATAGATTAACATACTTTTATCACACATAACCATGTTTTACCACGTTTAAAACAAAACCAACAAGTTGTACTATAACCATGGCTGAACTAATGTGCAACTAAGATTTTAAATACAAAGTCCATTGCAGCATTTACATTAAGACCATAGGAATATTTACAAGTGCTTCAAAACATGTACACTAAGGTGACTATAGTTTACTATAGTAAAATCACAAATAACTTGTGTAAGCACATGTTATAATGCTTATAATTTCTTAAATAGTGTTAAAGAAAATGCATGTTTCCAAGACTATAATCTTAAAATACAAGATAATACCAGTCATGTGTTCAGTATCCAAAAGACTTTCTTCAGGGAGTTACAATAATAAAAGAGGACACAAACACAAAATAAATACCAAGCAAACAATATTAACAGTAGTAAATAAAATCATACAAATTAAAATAATTTGATAAAATCTTATTAAAGTCTGTAGTCAAATTTTTTTTACAATTTTTTTATAAATGGCATTCAACAATTTGCAATCTCCTCTGAACTAATAACACATCAATAATATAAAATAACAATACTTCTCAGAGATAACCAGTTTTTTTTAAGCAAACTCTAATGCACGACACAAAACAGATTTAGTCATATATATATATATAAAATCCCTTAATTTCTGTTTAACGGAAATATTTTTTAACACATTTCTAATCACAATAGTTTTAAGAACTCATTTCTAATAACTGATTAAATAATATTTGACTAGATATTCTTCAAGACACTTCTATACAGCTTAAAGTGACATTTAAAGACTGAAGTAATTATGAGCCAAGTTATTGTATATCGGTGGTTTGTTTTGTAGACAGTCGAAAAAAATTGCTTAAAGGGGCTAATAATATTGACCTTAAAATGTTTTTTTTTTAAATTCAAAACTGTTTTTATTCTAGCCGAAATAAAAGAAATAAGACTCTCTCCAGAAGAAAACATCATATTTTCTTGCTCTGACATATATATATATTTATTTATATATATATATATATATATATATATATATATATATATATATATATATATATATATATATATATATATAAATATAAAACTGGTTGTAAATTGTGTGCAATGTTCCAAGAAAACAGACAAAATTAAAAGAAATAACCTGTCATTTAGTTTTGTTTTATCTTGTGGAATGTTGCTTACACATAAAAGGGGATATATAGGTGGAATAATAAGTGTGTCGCCATCCTCTAAATTGTTCTTGTATGTTGTCTTCATCTTTAGTCTTCACAAGTGAGGCTGGCCCAAACCGGGACTGCAGTAGCCAAATCTAATCCTTGTAGTGGGAACCCTTAAATAAAGCAAGAAACCAAAAGGAGAAAGATTAGCATTGCAGCAGTTCATATTACCACAAATATATATTATTTGTTTCATAACATATAACTGGAGTATGTGTTATGCAAGTGCCTAGCTAAAATGTGTCATTTAATTTAAACTTAAAGAGTGTGTCTGAGCACTAATTTTCAGAAAAGCCATTTGAAAGTTAAATTCCTTGTGAAATCATAATGAATGTTTTTTTTTTTTTGTTTTTAGTATCATTGTGTTAGTATAAATGTGTATCTAAATATATGTCAAATCTTCAGATACCACATTACATGCAAATTAAACTAAGTTTCGTCAACTAAAATGTCACACTGTACACCACATTTAATATATCATAGCTAGGGCCAGGAGGAATCTGCGGATGTTTTTTGCTATTTCTGCTGAAAATTTTGGTGGAAGTCTGCGGATTTCTGCGGAATTATTTTGGGAGTATCATAACTAAAACCTTAATATATGAAATAAAAAATTATATATTTTAAAGTTTTATTTAATGTTTAAAATGCAAATCCAATTAGATTCACTTTATTTGGTAAATAAAGCAAGTTTTTCATGTAACATATCTAGTAAGACAGAAAATATTACTGTACAAACTGCACTGTACATAAATCAGATGAACATTTTCACATTAGTCAATAATATTACTGAAATTAATAAAAAAACTGAATTAATATAGATTTACACACATTTACTCAAGTAAATAAACAGAATTAATGATAGGCTAAACATCTGCGGAGTTCTGCGAAAAATCCGGGTGGGCCTCATCATAGCTTTATTTCTGCTACAAAAAGGTTTTTCAGCAAACAACTTCTATTATATGTAGGCTATAGAGGAGGATATAAAAAGAAATGATATATTCAACTCTCTAATTAAATGCACCTTATGCAGCTAATCAGGTCTTTTAGGCTTATTTGAAAACTTAAATGACGTGTTGACCACAGTTGAACAACGCTCAGTGAGAATACTTTTTTTTGCACAAATTCTTTTTGTTCTAAATAAACATGTCTGATTGTTAGCAATCATCAAAGAGCAAACTTTTTTTTTCAAATAAATACTATGCTTTTAAAAATAAACTTTTCATACATCAAGAATACTAAAAATATGTTTATTTAAAATGTTTTATATTTAAAAAAACAGCTTGAGGAGAGAAACAGTACATTGGAATACTATTTTTTCAGAAGGATCATGTGACACTACTAATTATATACATTGTATTAAATTCACAGTATTACTGCTTGACTGTATTAATTAAATAAAGCTGACACTATCAGAAGAGAATTTACCATACCAACCTAAAAGCTATGAAACAGTAGTGTATGTTTAAGATGTTACTTACTAGTCCTATTGTACTTTGGAGAGGTTGTCTGACAGGAGGATCCCTTCAACTCAGCAGAATTCTCAGCAGACCATCAGCCTACACCAATCTAAGAATAAAATGAGCAATTTGTTAAAAACCAAAAATATATATTTTATATTTCCAGGTTTATAGGAAAGAAGAAAGCTAAAGCAGATTTAAAATGTAGAAAAAAATAAAACCTATTGACAATTTAATGGCACAACATACCCTAAACTAAGCACGATCAAATGGTTAATTTTAACTGTTAAGGATTCATTCATTCATTGTCTTTTGGGCTTAGTCCCTTTATTAATCTGGGGTCGCCACAGCGGAATGAAAGGCCAACTTAGCCAGCCTATGTTTTACGCAGTGGATGCCCTTCCAGCTGTAACCAATACACACTCATTCACACACACTTATACACTATGGTCAATTTTAGCATACCCAATTCACCTATGTCTTTGGACTTGGGAAAACCGGAGCACCCGGAGGAAACCCATGCCAACACGGGGAGAGCATGCAAACTTCACACAGAAACGGCAACTGACCTAGCCGAAGCTTGAAGCAGCAACCTTCTTGCTGTGAGGCAAACGTGCTACCCTCTGCGCCACCGTGCTGCCCTGTTAAGGAATCAGATTAATATAAATGAATTGACATGTTTATTTAGTGTCTGACACATTAAATATTGCATTTTTAAATATTGTTTCATTTTAAGATTTATTTCAGAATTAACTATAGAACCGGATATATCGTCACATTTTCATGCACAGCAGCATTTCCAAGAACATAGGCCAACTGAAAAAAAAAATAAATTAAAAAATTCTGAGGGTGTAATCTTGGATAAAAATATCACAGTTTCACAGTATTGTGATTACTGCTCTGAAATGTGTTTTTTTTATCTCTGTGTAAAAAACAGCTACTTTTTCCCCATTGAACACAATATGTTTTGTTTTTAAGAAACATTTAAAATATTTTGTAACAGTACACATGCCAGGCTAAATAATAATTTAATAAAATAGTACTATCTTCATTAGACTCAAAAACACTGATTTCTTGTGAAGGCATAATAAGCTATTTGTTTTTCAGATGTTTGCTGAATCGTGAGCTGACCAGTAGCTTTTGATGTGGAGGGTCTTTTGCTGCTGTAGATAATGTTGGACTATTTTTTTAAGTCTTTGATAACGCGCTAAAAACCATATACAATGCATCCGGAAAGTATTGATACTTTACTTTTTCCACATTTTTAATGTTTCAGTCTTATTTCAAAATGGATTAAATTCATTAATTTCCTCAAAATTCTACACACAATCCCCATAATGTGTGTTGACCCGATTTTAGTTAATCATTTACAAGTCAATATTGCCTATATGGATTGTAATTTAAAAAAAAATTAACATGTAAAATTGCAGTGTTAAATGCAATGCCATCAAACATTTTAGACGCACCAGTGCAAAAAGCTAGTCTAGAGCACTTGGAATGCTGGTGTAGTTCTAGTTAAATTCAGTTCAGTTAAAGCTGTATATGCAACAGGTCTCAAGTAGAGGATATAGTATTTAACTAATCTTAACAACTAAACATTTACGAATCTGTATTAGCCAGCTCATGTACTACAATGTAACAGATACTGTATATTGCCACCTTGATACTTAAGCTTTCTTTAAAATATTTTGTGTTCAACCGATTAATTAATTCTTTCATTTAATTTTTTCTGTGCAATAGTATAGCTTACACTGGTGTATTTGTATGGACCCCCCAAAATAGCGGAGGCCACTTTCTGGCCACCCAAGTATAAACTTCTAGCCTAGCCACTGTGAACTACCTGTCTGTCCTGCTCCAGAACTCTTTGTCGGCTGCTTGTATGTCTGGATACAGCTGCACAAGTCTTTTAACACTGACAAATACAGCCTCTGCACATCCTCACAACCAGGAGAACAGAATGATCAGGAGGACCTGAAAAATATAACCAACTGAAATCAGTTGAAATGTATTTTGTCTTGTGATGATGACACAAAAATAAATTATTTTTCACAATGGATGTGCTGTTACCTATGAAACGGTCTATAATGAATGATCTTTTGATCCTGTTTCCTTGATGTCATTCACTCAGAGATGGTTTGGACATTTGATTGTATCTAAACTGTAATGAATTTAAGTTACACAAACATTGATAGCAGGACCATTGAGCTTGTAACTTATACAAATTGTTAAGTATTGAACAAGTCTGCAACCAAACTAGTCAAGTTAATAATACTAATCTCAACTCAACTATGATTAGTTGTCTTGTTTCTGCTGCCCAGACGGTCACACCTGCTTATAAAAAAAGGAAAAAGTATGGTATTTTTACAACAATGAAACTGCAAACAACTTAACTATAAGGGGGTAAGCAGTGAGCATCTTTTATTATAAGCAATTTACTGAATACTTTGTCACTGGTATTACCTAAAAACCAAACGTCCCAAGTTTGGCTCATAGCTGTCCACACATCTGCCCAGTAGCTTGTGGTAATACTGAAGACACTGATCAGCTGGTCCAACTGAGTTTGGAGTTGAACTGCAATCAGGCATCCAATACTGCAAAGAAAGAGAAACTCACTTTGGGTTAACAAATAATGTAATCCCATCCACACATTTCAAGTAATTGTGCAGTTAATTCTCTTAAAATGAATGAATGAATTCTCTTATTGAATTTTCTGAGAGCTTATGAATATATTTTGTCTTCCCAAAATAGCATGTACTGAAACACAAAATTATATAAATATAATTTAATAAGAGCGTGACGTGGTGGCACAATAGGTAGTGCTGTCGCCTTACAGCAAGGATGCTGACTCGAGCCGCAGCTGGATCAGCAGGCATTTCTGTGTGTAGTTTGCAAATTCTCTCTGCGTTTGCGTGGGTTTTCTCTGGGTGCTCCGGTTTTGCCTACAAGTCCAAAGACATGTGGTACAGGTGAATTGGGTAGGCTCAATTGTCTGTAGTGTATGAGTGAGAACAAGCGTATATGGTTGTTTCCCAGTGATGGCTTGCAGCTGGAAGGGCATCCACTGCGTAAAACATATGCTGGATAAGTTGACAGTTCATTCCGCTGTGGTTACCCCAGATTAATAAAGGGACTAAGCAGAAAAGAAAATGAATGAATGAATGAATGAATGAATGAATGAATGAATTTAATAAGAGTTAAACTGATCTGTTAACATGTCTGTCAGGAGCTGATCTACCTGTTGTCAAACTGATGAAAATGTTTTCTCAATTTACTTTAACATTTTTGTGTTTGTTTATGTTTTTATAACTTGCAGCCATTGTTAAATTTAAAAGTATTTTAAACATGCATGGACATCTAAATGCATATAGGGCACATATCTCAAAACATTATGAAATATTTCCAGATAAATCAATTTTGAATTAAAATGTATATTAATCTCCAGACTTGCATCTCCCTGATCTTTTTAAAAGAACGGCCATTCGTTTGCTCATCACTGTTTGACAAGTGTCTGGCAGTCAGTCAAAAATATACTTACATATAAAGATGTTCATCAGCAACACGGCACTTAGGTTAAACTTAGACCTCCTTTTCAGTTGATGTGGAAAACAAAAGCAAAAGAAAGAAAAAACAAAACGACTGAATACAAGTTGCATATCATGCCTGTACAAATCAAAAATTATTCATTTAGGGCTTAAATTGACTTAAGGATGAGTTAAGGTGTAAGGGATGGGTGAACAGTGTAAATATACATGTAATTCATAGCTATGATGTAAAGCTAAATTTTCAGCATCATTACTCAAGTCTTCAGTGTCACTTGATCTTTCAGAAATCTTTTTTTAAGATGTTGATTTAGTGCTTGAGGTTGAACTAATATAATGGTGATTATCAAATGGTGCTGATTTGCTGCTCAAGAAACATTTCGGATTGCTATCAATGCTAAAAACAGATGTGATGACAAATAATTTAGTGTAAACTTTTTTCTAAGATTTAATAAATCAATTAATCATAAAAAATTAAACAAAATGAAAATCACAAATATTACTTCATTAGCAGCAAATCTATATATTTACTAAGTTCTGAAGAATCATGTGATGTGAAATTTAATACCACTCACATGTTTCAATGTCAAAACTTTCTTAAAACAACTGCAATAAAGACAAGTAACAGATGCATAATATATAGACATGTAACATATGCATAATGATGTGCAATGGAAATTCATATGAATTAATCCTATGCTTAAAGTTACCTGTCTTTCCTGCATCTCTGTGATCAGCTCCCTTCAGAAATTTAGGAATCTTGAGTTACATTTTCTGTAGCAGGAGGTTATTCTCTCACTCCTGAAACCACAGAACACTTTTTTAGTTAACATTTAGTTTAAGATACCATGAAATATCAAAACACGATTAACTTTTGATTCACGGTCCTTTACAGTAAAATGCGTATTTTAGACTACATATGGAGTGCATTCAATAAAACATTGACAAAACCTCTCATCTACACATAAAGAATAAATAAAAGCCAAAACTTTAACAAACAAGTTTAACAAGAGCTAACATTAAGTAAGTTAACGTAATATTACCCCGACGCTAACGTTACCAGTGCTAATATGCTAACGGACTTTTACGAAGACTTACCACTCTTATATAACATAATATTCAACTGAATATTCATCAATTGCCAATAATAAATGTGTGAGGAACAGTTTTATGTATTATTTGCTTTGTTTTAGGGACTAAACTTACCTGAAAACAGTCAAAACGGCAGCTTGAGAGAAGTCGTGTTGTGTCTTTTAGGTGGTGTCGTGTCGTGTTGTAGCTTCGTTTCCCATAGCAACATCCTCTCCGCTCCAGTGTTGGAAGCAAGACGCGCGCGCGCACATTAAAGTCTTGCAGTATTACATTTATAAACATGATCACTCCATAGACAATTTAAATAATAACCTTGTATTTTATATCTTGAATTTAAAATGTATTTAGCAGTTTTATATACGCTATTATCTTTAAGACGAGCTTTATAGCCTACTAAACTGTTACAAAACAAACACTTTATTTGTGCATTCACTGTCAAAAATAAATAACCAATAAATATAAATGCAAGTATATATAAAACAAAGATGTCACTCTGTAAAAAGGTGTTTATTTTAATTAAACAGCCGAAATGCAGAACATACTTGATTTTTACACTGGGAAAAATGTATTAGAAAAAGCCACAATAAAAAAAAAGCAAACAGCAGTTAACACCAGAAAAAAACAACGTTTTCATTATTAAAGCATAACAATAAAACTTTTTATATTTTAATGAATTGAAATCATGTATTGTAGGCATTTTGGTCAGTTTTACTGCATTAATGTAGGCTATTTAAAGCTGGACCGACCGACGCAGTTCACATGATGCATGTCGCGTTTGTCTAATTTATTATGCACGCAAAAACTTACTTGTAAACCAAATATGTTGCCGGATTCTTTCATGGGCATGAGAGATCAAGTGCTTATGAAGTGCTTCGTCGGCCTCTGGTCGTTAACCGACGCATAGCCAAGGTTTGTTGAGCTGGAACAATAGAACACACGACCGAACGATCATGCGTATGTTTGGCCGACCATATACCGATGTTAGAATTAAAGGGGCCGACGTGTAGACCTTCGGCCGACGTCGGCCCAACGTATGTGTGCTGTCTGGGGATGTCATTCAGCGCCCCATTATTTCCTCTAAATTGCACAAAACAGGTGTCATATGTTAGTGCTGGATTTGTGCTGGTTTGTGCAATAACAATTAACACTTTATATGTTTATTGATTAGATATTGCCTAATTAAAACATTTCGGGAGCCGCCACGTCACTCAGCGCCCCATTATTTCCTCTAAAATGCACAAAACGGGTGACACTCTTTAGTGCTGGATTTGTGCTGGTTTATGCCATTAAAATAAACACTTTATCTGTTTGTATTGTTTAGATATTGCCTAATCAAAACACTTTGGGTGCCGCGACGTAATATTGCACCAAACAGTCATTCAGTTGTGCTGGTTGTGCCGTTTATAAACACTTATCTATTTTCCTTGTTTGGATTTAACCAAAATATTTGGTTAGATTTGTGCTGGTTTGTGCCATGAAAATGAACAACAGATATTTATATTTGTGCACAAATATGTTACTTTCGTTTGCTCACAAATTGTGCTCGTTTGTGCTGCAAAAATATTATTTGTAAAAAAATAATATCAGATCATTAAGAGGTCTCTCCACCCCAGTTGCTACATATTTACTAAAAGAGTCTCGTATGTGTGCGTTTCATTTGTGCTGGATCGTACCTGAAAGTTTCGTTAGTGTTGCTTCTTTTATTAAAATATTGAATGAAAGATAATGATATCAGATACCCGCATAATTTAAAATATTTAAATTTGTTTGGGCTGATAGAAATTTTATTTAAGATGCTTTATTTTTTTAGATAGCCTAGGCCAAGGTTATTCTGAGATCTTTTTATTATTAGAAAAAGCATGAAGGATGCGAACATAATTTTGACAGATTTAATCCAAGTAAAAGGGCTTGGCCAATATAAAGATAATTGGCTACAACCCTGCTTTACTTAACTACTTCGTTTTAGACTCATATGAGTAGCCAGCATGCTTAACAATAGAGGAAAAAATAATTTAAAAAAATATATATAATTTGTATTAATTTTATTTATTTATTTTATAAAAATGTATTAATATACATTTTTTTTTACCTGTTTAACCATGCAGCGATTTTTCTCTTAAATACTTTTATCATCTGGTCGTCCATATTAGGCTGCTTTCGTATTTAAACAAGCAGCCTAAACTTTTCTGTTGTGGTAGGTAGGCCTACCACTTATGATTAAGTAAAGCAGCTTTAGTGGACTTATTTAGTCAATATTTATTTTATGGGAAAAAATAGATTATAACACATGCAAACACATAGGCTATGCGTTTTCTACAGATAAGTTTTGGTTTTCGTGATTGTGTTGTTTGTCATACAGTAAAAGAACAATGTCCAAATGGCAATAAAATAACAATAAATAATTTATTAATTAATTACAATTAATAATAATAATAACAATAACAACAATCATATAAAATATTTACATTCACAATTGGTAAACACTGTGCGTTTTTATCAAGGGCTGTAGGATGTTATTTTGACCATTTTGATTTGGTTTAATAAAAGATAAACATGTAATATTTTGTCATATTTTAGTTATCCTTAGTTATCTTCTTATTATTGTCATTATTATTAATATTTTTATATTTATTTTATATTTAATAACTTGTAGACTCTTTAAACAATGAGGAAATAACTAAACTTTTTTAATTCAAGGCCCAGACAGCTTGTTTTGTAATTTAATGCCGGCTATAGGCTACCACCTGAGGGATGGTTATACGGCGTGTTGTGATGTCGGCCGTCACCGGAGAAAATTAATTTAAACTTTAAAACTTTAATTTTTTGCACTTTTGTTTGAAAGCTTTAGTGGCACTGTAGCTGTCCAAGGTACTGTTGTATAATTTAAATTATAGCCTATATATGCAACAATAAACAAGTCGAATGAATGAATGAAATAAATATAGATTCTTAAATGTTGATATTGTTTTTGCTAATAAAAAATAACAAATGTTTAATAAAAATAAAATGAGCAATTTTCAATATTTATACAATTCAGTTAAATATAAGCTGGACATTTTTGGGGACATGTAATTTCTCTGTGATCTTTAATATATACTGGGTAGCTATATTTTCTAAAATCTCAAACAGGAATTGCTTTAATATGAATATGCTTTACATCCTGATATGCTGTTGTTTCATTTTCATTTTTATTTCACTTGAAAAAAATCGGTATTTAATGTTTGAATACTAAAATAAATAACAGCCATTGTTTAAATGGTTATTTTACCAACAAAATGTATATTTTATATTTTTATCAACTTTTCATATAAAACCTCTGTGTAATTTATTGATTGTTAAAAATGAAATAATTTAAGTGCTATATTTTTTATTAGTGAAAGTGCCCGCTTACTTTGCCCAAGGCCTGTCAAAAAATATAATTCTGCCACTATAATACAAATGCACTATTATTGTTTTATTATCATTGTTTATTTTTCTGTAATGTATGAAATTTTTGATACATTTATTTCCCCTCCAATCATTTTCATTCATAACGTTAAATTTTGGTAATTTTCCCTGCAAATAAAATTGATTTGCTGTCTTGCCTGGTTTAGCACGGAATGTGAGCCTAAAAAGGGTCCGAACGATTGGAAAAGCGGCTTTTAAAGAGACAAACTATATGCGAAATTTGTTTCAAAAAGATATTTTTTTCCAAAAAAATATACGAATTATATTTTAGTTTGAGGCCGACTGTGCGGGTGGATAATTTTCAGTCAGTGGAAAGTAGGCCTATGAATTTAATATGCCTCATATTGTATCACAATCTTCTGTCATATATTTGCAATTTTTTAAATATGTCATAACACAAATGAGACTATTTTAGTAAATATGTAGCAACTGGGGTGGAGAGACCTCTTAATGATCTGATATTATTTTTTTACAAATAATATTTTTGCAACACAAACGAGCACAATTTGTGAGCAAACGAAAGTAACATATTTGTGCACAAATATAAATATCTGTTGTTCATTTTCATGGCACAAACCAGCACAAATCTAACCAAATATTTTGGTTAAATCCAAACAAGGAAAATAGATAAGTGTTTATAAACGGCACAACCAGCACAACTGAATGACTGTTTGGTGCAATATTACGTCGCGGCTCCCAAAGTGTTTTGATTAGGCAATATCTAAACAATACAAACAGATAAAGTGTTTATTTTAATGGCATAAACCAGCACAAATCCAGCACTAAAGAGTGTCACCCGTTTTGTGCATTTTAGAGGAAATAATGGGGCGCTGAGTGACGTGGCGGCTCCCGAAATGTTTTAATTAGGCAATATCTAATCAATAAACATATAAAGTGTTAATTGTTATTGCACAAACCAGCACAAATCCAGCACTAACATATGACACCTGTTTTGTGCAATTTAGAGGAAATAATGGGGCGCTGAATGACATCGCGGCTCCCGAAATGTTTTGATTAGGCAATATCTAATCAATAAACATAGATAAAGTGTTTATTTTAACGGCACAAACCAGCACAAATCGAGCACTAACATATGACACCTGTTTTGTGCAATTTAGACAACCTGGGGTGGAGAGTGACGTCACGGCTCCCGAAATGTTTTGATAAGGCAATATCTAAACAATAAAAATAGATAAAGTGTTTATTTTAACGGCACAAACCAGCACAAACCGAGCACAAACGAATGAGACCAGTTTGGTGTGATTTAGACAACATGGGGTGGAGAATGACGTCACGGCTCCCGAAATATTTTGGCTATATCTAAACAACGAAAATAGATAAAGTGTTTATATTAACGGCACAAACCACCACAAACCCAGCACAAACGAATGATACCAGTTTTGTGCAATTTGGAGGAAATGGGGTGGAGAGTGACGTCACGGCTCCCGAAATATTTTGCTTATATCTAAAAGAGGAAAACAGATACCGTGTTCGTTTTAACGGCACAAACCAGCACAAACCGAGCACAAACGACCTGTGCTGTTTTGAAGTCAATTGCGCAACATGGGGTGGAGAGTGACGTAACACGGTTAAAAAAATAATGCTTAATATCTCAGACCCCAAACCAGCACAAACGTTCGTTTTTGCGGCACAAATCAGCACAAACGTAGCACAAACGAATGGCATAGTTTTGGGGATTATTTGTTTTTATGGGGTGCCAACTTCACGGAGGTTACTACTACTACTCCTCCTCCTCCTCCTCTCTTTTCCTAGATAGGGAGGCATGGCAGCTCAGTGGTAAGCACAAGATCTATGCTGTGTGTAGTTTTTCTGTAATTTGTAACATATCAGAGACTGTAAGGGTCTGTATGTGTTCATAGATGTTGCAATTATTTATTTTATGTAATCGCAGACATAACAGTAGGCTATTTTGCATCATCGATCTGCAGTTACAATCAAATCATGTTCATAAAAAGGGTAGTAAAGAAAATTTATACACAAGTATTTATGTGTATAAAGCATCTGTTGTGTGAAGTGCTTGTCATATGATCATACTTGTCAACATTGGGATGTAAAAATAAGGGATATGCCCACCATCATAAGGGATGACTTTTTATGCTCATTTAGGACGAAATTAGTTGTTAGAAGAAAAAACACCAAGATCGACGTATTTAGATATTATTATTATTATTATTAATTATGTGTGCTTATCCAAGCTGTATATAATTTTGATAGTACAACCATCTGTAAATATCACCATAGTTTTTCTATAACTGCACTTTATAACTTATTCCTGTATCCTGCACTTGCTGCTATTGCACTGCTGGTTAGACCTAAACTGCATTTCGTTGCATTGTACTTGTACATGTGTAATGACAATAAAGTTGAATCTAATCTAATCTAAATTTCTGTTTAAACATGCACACAAAACATAGACTTTTGCTCTGCTTCAAATCGTGTGTACAGAATCCGTTTGGGAAACAGCGTCTCTTTATCATTATGGAGCATATCAGCTGACAGTCATGCACCATTATATGACTGTTTTAAGGATTGCATAGGAGGGGTGACAGCACCTGTTATGAAAAAGAAGAGAAATTGCACATTTTTATATATTTTTTCCAAGGTGTTTCGTGCCTAAACAAAGCTAAAGCACAAAACAGAGTCACATTTAATAGCAAGGGGCGGCCCCTGGTGGTCCGGTGGTATGGGTTGCGTATAGTGAAGCTAGCCACCCTTCAGAGAAACACTCAAAATATGGCAGAAATACTGGAAAATACCTTTACGGGCTGATAGCGGGATAGAATTGTAAAATACATGAGAATCCCGGGAAAAACGGGAGGGTTGACAGGTATGCATATTATATGTGAACGACCCGTACAGCTTTACTTTGACATTTTCTAAAACGAGAATGACGTTGATAGAAACTTTCTGTCTACACCACGCCCACCAAATAGAACCATTGGTACACTTTTAGCAGTGGAAATGCAAGCCTGATAAAGGTTACCATATTGTACCACTCCGTGGAAACAGGCCTTAAGTGCTCTGAGGCAGGGGAGAGGCAAACAACATCATTAGCTCATTGAGAAGAGTGGGAGTGGTACAGCATGGACACAAGAGAGTCTATAAAAATCTCTAGTAACACTAAAGATATATTTGTTTGCTAGTCACTTATTAAAAAAATTGACGCTAGGGTGGTCTGAAAAGTCCCTAAATATAGTGACAAAGTCTCTTAAGTTAGCAACACTGGTGGTATGACTATACAGGTTCCGGCTTTTTGACTCAAAGCCGTTAACCTGAATTAACCGGCTGAGAGATAAAATGCCTATAGTGACCTGTTGTGGCCATTCACAAATGGAGTCAAAGCTGCAAAGTGTGAACACACCCTTGATCTCTTTCAGAATCAGTGTCTTAATACTTGTCTGGCTGAGGATTGGGTGCACATGCAAACTGAGACTGCATGCATGCTTTCAATGCCCTCGCAGTGACGTCGCCTATTGAGTGCATGTGTCTGAGACTGCATGTTGTCTGCAGCCGGATACTATTAGAGAACTTTGTCAAATGTTCGGTGCATTGCCAATATGTATGCAAATTAATGACACTTTCTGTTTTGCTTTTTCTATTTATTTACTGTCCCCATTCCAACTGGATCCAGAAGTGAGGAACATTGTGAAGACTTTCAGCCCTCTTCCCTGCCATGCGTTAGAAACAGTGGGTATCATAACCACATTCATTTATTTCTCTATGCTTATCATAAACTGTATTTTTCAGTCTTATTAGCATGACTATACTTGTGCCAGGTTCTGCTTGAGACAAACAAACATATCTTTTGCTGCTGTTGTACTGACATCTGCTGGAAGTGATTATATCTACAGTATATACACTGTAAAAAAAACAAACTTAATTTTACAGAAAATATCCCTAAATTTTTTACAGTAATTTTTGTCATTTAAAATTATATGTAGAACTTAGTAAAATGACAAACAATCTCTCTAAATTCACAGTTTAACTTTAATTTTAGGTACTTTATCATTAAAGACAAATTACTGACATTTTTGTTTTTTATACAGGGAAATTACAGTATTATTTATACAGTATTTTTTTTCTGTTATTTTAAATTATATTAAAAAATCCATAAAAATTACAAACAATATCTGTAATTTAACAGCTTGACTGTTATTTTATGTACTATAAGTAATGACAAATTACAGCAATTGGTCTGTTTTATACAATAAAATTGCCGTGTTATTTACACACTGCTTTTTCCTGTTTTAATGAAGTACATTTAAAATTACGTAAAATTAAAGTAATAAATTGTAATTACCTGCTCTGTAAAAAAAATTAAAAAATCGTAAAAAAAGGTCAAATGACTGGCAGCTATACGGCTGCCAAACAAAAAACATAAAATTACGGTAAAATTTCTTTGTTGAAATAAAGTGCAAAGAATAATAAATCTACAGATATTTTCATTAAAATGTTTACAGAAAAACACTGTTATTTTACAGACTTTTCCTAGATTATTACGATCAAATCCGTTCAATAAAGTTACACACTAAGTGCGCTCACATGCAGCTGTTCCGGATTCTGCTGATTGCACACACACAGTCGGAGGATCATTATGAACTGATTTGATGCACTTTAAAAGCAGCATAGACCTATTGCTTAGTCTTGTTATACTGTTACTGTGAACACTGACGCGTTTCTCTTCTTTTGCCTTGCTTTGTTTGTTAATTGTTTGCGTGGTTTGCTGCCGGGACTGACCATTTGCCTGTTATTTGACCATGACTCTGGATTCCCAGCATAATGTTGCATCTGTTCGCCCCTGTGTTGACTGTTGTTTGCCTGACCATCTCTGTGTAATAAACCTGCATTTGGATCCTTTGTCAACGTCCCCTTCACGTTACAGTTCCATTTCATTTAGGATCTGTAACTGAATCATTCCATATAACTTAAACCTCTACATGTTTTACATAAACACTATTCAATAAAATGTAACAACTGTAATTTTAAAGTTCCATAGTAAATTCCTATCCGTTGTATCTCGTTTGGTGTTTTTTCCAAGTTTTTTTGATCCAAAATAAAACTGTTCAATTACGATCATGAGCATGTCTTGGCATTTTATTAAAGCTGTTTAATCGTAATGATTTAGGGAAAATTCTTTTAAATAACATTGTTTTCTCTTGAACTTTTAGTGCAGTCACATATTGATGGTGTTTGATCATAATAATCTAGGAAAAGTCTGTATAATTACAGTGTTTCTTTAATTGTAAAACTCTTAGTGTGTAACTTTATTGAACAGATTTGATCGTAATAATCTAGGAAAAGTCTGTAAAATAACAGTGTTTTTCTGTAAACATTTTAATGAAAATATCTGTAGATTTATTTATTTTTTTTGCACTTTATTTTAACAAAGACATTTTACCGTAATTTTATGGTTTTTGTTTGGCAGCCGTAGCTGCCAGTCTTTGATATTTTTTTTTTTATGGTGTAGACAAAAAGCTCTGTGTATGTAATGAAACACAATTGTCAACCTCTTTAGGTGGGGTGCCCTGGGAAGGGCCTTCAGAATCTGTAAAAAGGAAGAAGAGAGATAAAAGAAGGGACAGGAAAGAGGAAGTGAGTGTGAGAATTGTGGAGGATACAACATCTCTCTCAGGAAGACACTGTCATGGGGAGATGGAAGAAAACACTTCATCATGACAACAAAGTTTAGACTTTGGACTGTAAAATGATTAAATCTGCTCAACCAAAATGGATCATATGTATCATTTTTCTGCAGATTCAGAACAGTCATGTAAATAGGAATGTTAGTTACGTTAATTTTTGCATTGACAACACTTTTTAACATGTTTAAGTTCTACCTCATGTCTACTAAATGTTTAGAGAAAAGCATTGTTTGATAGAGGCCGCACAGAATAATTGAGTCAAAAAAATAAATGCCTTGTTTTAGATCTTTTTTAATTTTTTTAAAGAAATGTGTCATTTAAATTGATCAAAACAAAGGTGACATTTTGGAGGTGTTACAGGTTTTCTCACAGCAGACATGAATAAGTAGTTAATCGTTTAGACAAGGTTTATAAATCATGTCTGGTTTTTCTTTATGTAAACACCATTTATAAATTATATAATATATTGTTTATACACACACACACACACACACACACACACACACACACAATCCAGTATACTTGCACCAGTAAGTGACGCCAGCTGTTTAAAATGATGCTACTTAATTTTGTCAACTTAATTTAAAGGGCTGGTAGTCAGATATTTCAAGTTTAATACAATAAGTCCATTATTTGCTCACCACTAAATGTTCCTAAGTCAACTGTTTGCAGTTTTATAACAAAGTGAACAAAGTGATTGGTCGCTCGTTTTGGAAGGGCACTTTCTATCCAAGACTTAAAATGGCATGTGCACTGCACAGGTTAAGCCCTATGTTTGCACGTGCCTGATTGGTGCTGACTATTTACAATGTATATAATTGATTATTATGGTCCAGGATAAACATTAGAGATTTTACACAGTATTTTTTTAAGTTTACCTGTTTTGGGGGTTTTCAACTTTAAATGATATGACAGAGAGTACAAACAGCAAAGTGTGGGGATCAGAGAGCAGGAAAGGATCAGCACTGCAAGGTGGGATTTGAACTCAAATGCCCATGAACGCTAGAGTCCCAACTATCAACATACTAACCACTACACCATTGACACTGACAATCTGAACTGTACTGAAATAATTTAAACGATGATGGTCCAGGATCAATATTAGTGAATTGACACTGTATTTAAATGTAAATTATGGTCCAGGATCAACATTATTGAATTTACACTGTATTTAATTGATGATGATCCAAGATCCACATTGGTAAACTGACACTGTATTTAAATGTTTATGATGGTCCAGGATAAACAATAGTGAATTAACACTGTATTTAAATGTTTATGATGGTCCAGGATCAGCAATAGTGAATTAACACTGTATTTAAATGTTTATGATGGTCCAGAGTCAACAATAGTGAATTTACACTGTATTTAAATGTTGATGGTCCAGAGTCAACAATAGTGAATTTACACTGTATTCAAATGTTGATGGTCCAGGATCAACAATAGTGAATTTACACTGTATTTAAATGTTGATGGTCCAGGATCAACATTAGTGAATTTACACTGTATTTAAATGTTGATGGTCCAGGATCAACATTGGTGAAATTACCCTGTATTTAATTGATGATGATCCAAGATCAACATTGGTAAACTGACACTGTATTTAAATGTTTATGATGGTCCAGGATAAACAATAGTGAATTAACACTGTATTTAAATGTTTATGATGGTCCAGGATCAGCAATAGTGAATTAACACTGTATTCAAATGTTGATGGTCCAGGATCAGCAATAGTGAATTAACACTGTATTCAAATGTTGACGGTCCAGGATCAACATTAGTGAATTTACACTGTATTTAAATGTTGATGGTCCAGGATCAACATTAGTGAATTTACACTGTATTTAAATGTTGATGGTCCAGGATCAACAATAGTGAATTTACACTGTATTTAAATGTTGATGGTCCAGGATCAACATTAGTGAATTTACACTGTATTCAAATGTTGATGGTCCAGGATCAACATTAGTGAATTTACACTGTATTTAAATGTTGATGGTCCAGGATCAACATTAGTGAATTTACACTGTATTTAAATGTTGATGGTCCAGGATCAACATTGGTGAAATTACCCTGTATTTAATTGATGATGATCCAAGATCAACATTGGTAAACTGACACTGTATTTAAATGTTTATGATGGTCCAGGATAAACAATAGTGAATTAACACTGTATTTAAATGTTTATGATGGTCCAGGATCAGCAATAGTGAATTAACACTGTATTCAAATGTTGATGGTCCAGGATCAGCAATAGTGAATTAACACTGTATTCAAATGTTGATGGTCCAGGATCAACATTAGTGAATTTACATTGTATTTAAATGTTGATGGTCCAGGATCAACATTAGTGTATTTACACTGCATTTAAATGTTGATGGTCCAGGATCAACATTAGTGAATTTACACTGTATTTAAATGTTTATGATGGTCCAGGATCAACATTGGTGAACTTACACTGTAGTTCAATGATGATGGTCCAGGATCAACATTAGTAACTTTACAATGTATTTAAATGTTTATAATGGTCCAGGATCAGCAATAGTGAATTTACACTGTATTTAAATGTTGATGGTCCAGGATCAACATTAGTGAATTTACACTGTATTTAAATGTTGATGGTCCAGGATCAACAATAGTGAATTTACACTGTATTTAAATGTTGATGGTCCAGGATCAACATTAGTGAATTTACACTGTATTCAAATGTTGATGGTCCAGAGTCAACATTAGTGAATTTACACTGTATTTAAATGTCGATGGTCCAGGATCAACAATAGTGAATTTACACTGTATTTAAATGTCGATGGTCCAGGATCAACAATAGTGAATTTACACTGTATTTAAATGTTGATGGTCCAGGATCAACATTGGTGAAATTACCCTGTATTTAATTGATGATGATCCAAGATCAACATTCGTAAACTGACACTGTATTTAAATGTTTATGATGGTCAAGGATAAACAATAGTGAATTAACACTGTATTTAAATGTTTATGATGGTCCAGGATCAGCAATAGTGAATTAACACTGTATTCAAATGTTGATGGTCCAGGATCAGCAATAGTGAATTAACACTGCATTTAAATGTTGATGGTCCAGGATCAACATTAGTGAATTTACATTGTATTTAAATGTTGATGGTCCAGGATCAACATTAGTGTATTTACACTGCATTTAAATGTTGATGGTCCAGGATCAACATTAGTGAATTTACACTGTATTTAAATGTTTATGATGGTCCAGGATCAACATTGGTGAACTTACACTGTAGTTTAATGATGATGGTCCAGGATCAACATTAGTAACTTTACAATGTATTTAAATGTTTATAATGGTCCAGGATCAGCAATAGTGAATTAACACTGTATTTAAATGTTGATGGTCCAGGATCAACATTAGTGAATTTACACTGTATTTAAATGTTTATGATGGTCCAGGATCAACATTGGTGAACTTACAATGTATTTAAATGTTTATGATGGTCCAGGATCAACATCAGTGAATTTACACTGTATTTAAACAATGATGGTCCAGGATCAACAATAGTGAACTTACACAGTATTTAAATAATGATTGTCAAGGATCAACAATAGTGAATTTACACTGTATTTAAATGATGATGGTCCAGGATCAACATTGGTGAATTTACACTGTATTTAAATAGTTATGATGGTCTAATATATAAATTTAAGAAACTATATAATACAACTTAGAATACAGTAAAAGAGAACAGTTTTTTTAACTTCATTTTCACATTAGACACACAAGATAAAAAGCAAAACAAAAAGTACATTAAACAAATTTAAAGAAATAATAATGCAATATAAAAATAAAGAATCAGGTAGCCTTAAAATTCTCATAATATTTACTTAAGAAAAAGCACATTTCTTATTATCAATTAATCCAAGTGAGCTAATTAAATGTACTATTACACGTAGGAAGTCTATGAAAGTTGGATTTTTTTAAGGAACCTCTGTTTGTAAATGCAATATTTCCCAGCAAGTTTAAAAAAGTTCACTGTGTCTTCTAACAATTTGTTTTGGTTTTCAAAATAACAATAACATCCTTAAGGTGCAAATTACCACTCATAATAACACTGGAAAAGCAATATGAATTTAAATCATTCCAAAACAATGATGATGCATTGCATGAAAAAACAAATGACAATTGTCTTCACAGATAATACCAGTAATATCTTAATATTTGGACAAAAGTGCATTACACGAGAAAGTATTGTGCAAATTTTTAAATTGCACCTCTTTCATTTTATTAGGAATACAGAATTTATATGGTAATAACCATGCTATCCTCCACTGAACGTTAACAATTAAAGAACCCCCAAAAATTTCCCCCTAGGAGTAATTGAGTTTTGTGACTGGGACAATTGACAGATGAACTTATTATTGCATTTAACACTAAGAATAGATTTTCCTCCTAGCCATAATTGTGACAATTGTTTGGAAACTGCCTTTTCTACTACTAAGAGCTGCTTTCATAAGATATAGTAATCTAGGTATAGCCTTTATAATCAACTTAAATTCCATATAGCCTACTGGGCAGGGAATTGATTAATATTTATAAAACTTTCATAAGTTAAGAGATCCCTGTTACAATTAAAAGTACAGAAACAAAAATAATGTTTTTGTTAAACCATTTATCCCCTTATTTTTTTTTAAATTATTTTTCATAATGTCTGCATTATTCCATAAAATGGTTTCGTGGGGTGAGAAATTGTGGTTGTATATAAGTTTCCAGGCTAATAGAGCTTGTTGGTGGAATTTAGCTAATTTAATAGGTAATTTACAAATAGAATTGCACTTCATTAAAAAAGAAAGGCCACAAATCATTTTAAATATATAGGAATAAAATACCACACAGAGTGTGAACCAAGCAAACATCTCTTTAGCCAATTGATTTTAAATGTATTATTGGTGTCATCAAAATTTAGGACTTCAAGACCTCCCTCACTTATTTTATTTGACAACACATGTTTCTTCAATTTGTGAGGTTTATTATTCCAAATAAAATCAAGAAAAACTTTATCTATATGTTTAGAAGTGTGATTCTACTGCTAAAGATAATGAGGGGCACACAAATCTAAATTAAATGTTTATGTATATATATATTATTTTTTTATTTTTACTTTTTTATTGCTGAAACCAGGAACATAAATACATAACAGTACATGAAACTAAAATTACAGTATCAATCAACAAATGGCATTGACAAAAAGTACAGTACAGTATGAAACAATGGAAAAAAATAAAGGAGATGAAGAGAAGAGAGAAAAGGAAAAAAATGACTTTTTTTTTTTTTTGCAAATGCAAGGGTTAATTTCAGGTTACTCATACAAAGATCTTAAAAGCAGAGCATATTTCGACAGTTTTAAAGCTTTTTTTAAAGACAATCCTGAAATCACCTTTATATAGTTCTCCATATCTTTAATTAAGACCACAAAGGCAGGTTTACTATTTGTGAATTTGCATTTGTGAATGTAAAATTTGCTCAAGAAAATAATCAAATTGATTAAAAACACATTATTTTCTTTTGTGGGGTCCGAGTTAAAATACCCCAAAATAATAATTTTCATTTGTATAGAAAATTCAGGTAGATACTTCATTTTAATAAAAAAAATCTATATTATTCCAAAACTCTTGATTGGATTGACATGACCAAAAGTACCTCCGTTTCATCAGCATTCACACAAAAAGGAACAGCACTACTCAGTGTCAACTCTAAACTTTCGTATAAATACATTAATCTGATCTTTTTTTTAAACTGTAAGTTATTACAGCATAATACATGCTTTAAATGTTTTATGTGTCGTCAGTTTCGCTTTCTTTACGTCATTCCCTCCTCCCACTGGCATATGGAGATGGAATTCGTGTTTAGAGCAGTTGACACTTCCGAAAACAAATGATCCAGAAAGCCAGTTGGCTTAGAAATTTAGACGTTGATGGTTTAGCAAATGCATGTTTCATATGTGCGCTCTTATCTATACTTTAGCTTTAACAGGGATTTCGTGTAAACAATGAAGCACAGCGGCAGCGTGATGGATAATGGGTGAGTGGATTTTCATAGCAGGAAATTACTTTACTGTAACGTTACAAATATCTGTCTGCGTTTGTCGACGCGCACGTCCGCGTCCAGTAACTGTTTATGCAAACTCTAGAATGTCGGTTAAAGTTTTAATAAGCAGGTATTACGGTTGATACGCTCGTTTCAGCGAGGAAACGCCAAGCAGCAACAGATGACTATTGTCAACATGGATGAATAAAAGAATATGTGAATTGGTTGATGCAGTCAGCACAATTATATTTTCGGTCAGACAGAATATATATATATATATATATATATATATATATATATATATATATATAGTTTTCCAACATTAGCCACTCAACATTTTCACTAGCCACAATTTTGTTGTTGGGAAAATATATTTTATTTGCAAAATTTGACTTTGACGTGCTAAAATTACTAGATTTTGTTATGTCCACATGTTTTATCATTTATTTTATTTTGTGTGTCGTGTATGAGCTTGCTCAGTGAGCATGAACAAATGGGTCATGATTTCATAGTGTATTACAATTATTTTTTGGAATTTAGCGACTTTATCTCTGACCACACCAAATATAAAAAATTATTTCTTAGCCTCAAATTTTAAATGTGTCAAAACAAGCAAAATATAGCTGTGTACTATACTTTCTATTCTATTTAACAAGACAGTTCTTTAAAAATTGTCATTTAAAAAATAATTATTGTCATGTATCTAAAACTATGCACAGTAATCTGTTCTGGCTAAAGGTTTTAGATCACCAGTTAACTACACATAAATGAGGAGTTAATCTCCCATTAAAGCAATTTATTGTAAAGAAAAAAAAGACAGAAAAAAAAGATAATTAAACCATATTAACAAAAATAACTGTAAAAAAAGAAAGCAGGTGAAAAAAAATACTGTGTATGACAATGAAAGGATGACCAAGCGCACACGATTAATGTTAGGCCTGTTAATAATCTGTTCAAAGAATTTAAGTGTAAGCAACTAGTGCTGCTTATACAAAAACAAATCTGGACCTCTTGAAAGCAGCAAGACTGTGGGTGCATGAGCATATCTTTTTGCCTAGTCTATTTAAAAGAGAACCGATCACATCAGTTGAGCTTATATCCACGGTTGCTTCACGCAGGGAAACGGGAGTGCGCATGCGTTTTAAACAGTTGCGAGTGTCACATCAGCTGTTAGCGCGAGTGTTCATTCTCTCATTCGGTAATCACCTGCTTTCTTTTGCTCGCGCAAACACAATAGTGTTTGTCAGTTGTGCTGCTTCTCGATTCTCATCCTTTTTGTTTAATACTGCTTTTAAGAAAACTACAATTTAAAAAATATTTTCAACCGGCCAAAGTGGCTAGTAAGAGTGTGTCTAACCTGCCATAGCTGAAATCTACCCGCAATTGTGCGGGTGTTAATGTCAAGCCCTATATATATATATATATATATATATATATATATATATATATATATATATATATATATATATATATATATATATATATATACATTAAAGAATAATAAAGTTGGCTGTTTATGCTTGAAAGATAATTATTAAAATAATAAATGATCAACATTTTCATATACATTGCCTACATATTCATTACAAAACTGTGATACTGTACACAGTTCGTAAAGTTTTTTTTTTCTTTTTCTTTTTCATTTTTCATTTTGTTGGTTTAATTTAATTTGTTTAATCAGCCTACTTTCTCCTTGGAGTTTGTATCACCATAGTCCCTAAATATATGTAAATACAGGAAATTTTATTTAACTTCTTAAACCAAATATAGCCCCATTGTATACAGTGTATACTTTAAACCAGGGGTCACCAACCTTTTTAAAACTGAGAGCTACTTCGTAGGTACCGATTAATGTGAAGGGATACCAGTGTGATACACACTTCTCATATAACAAATATGCTTAATTTACTTTTAATTATATGTGTATTATTAATAATTCTTGATATTCATCTATGTAAAGACACTGATCATGCTAATGATTTCTCACAGTAGTTTTCAGCAATGATTCAACAAGGTAATCAACAAGATAAATATCAATATGCAACACTTTATTTATATATGCAAGTAATATATTTTAAAAAAAATTTTCATGTACAATATTTTCACTAGCCACTAACAATTTTTAACAAATCATGCACTACATTGTACCATGTTTGTACAGATTATCTATTTTGTAACATAAATCAACTTTCAGATTTTACTTAAATTATCACTAAATCTACAGCATTTTTAACATAGCCGAGACTCTTCTAACCATTGTAGCTGCCCCGAGTTGGACAAAGAGAGTGGAGATTATATTTGTTAGTCTTTAAGCACAGTTTTGCTATCCTGTCTGAAAATGCCTTGATATTCAAATAAAAAGTGTAGCTCTAAATGAGGCTTCGGTTGCAGTTTTTTGAGTGGTTTTCACAAACTTTCCTTTAATTCGCAGACATTTTCCACTTCCATTTTCCACTTCCAGCTTACAGATAAGTGGCACTATAGTGAGTTTTTTTTAGAATAGGCCCATGGGCAACTTGTAATTTTTGTGGGCTACCTGGCACCATGTTGGTGACCCCTGCTAAAAACTAAAGGACTCCAAGTGTGTGCTGATGGAATGTTCTTACAAAATGTTGACAGAGTATTATGTTTTTTTCTAGATTATGCATGCCAGCAAAAGTCCAAGAAGATCATTTAGGCACAATCAGAGATGTATTTGCTGGTGAAAGCCCCGAGACAATACCCCATCGGCTTATTTCTCTTTTGGAGGTGTTTGACCGTTTTAAGATAGATATTGCTGTGACTGGAGACTCTGGTGCAGGAAAGTCTTCTTTAATCAATGCGATTCTTGGACTGAAACCTGATGACAAAGGAGCTGCTCAAACTGGAGCTATAGAAACCACAAAACAAGCAACTATGTATCAGCAATCAAATCTGCCCCACATCAGGTTGTGGGATCTTCCAGGAATGGGAACCCCTTCCTTTGCGTCCAAGAGTTATGTAAAGATGATGAACTTTGACCTTTACGACATGTTTATGGTCGTGATCTCAGAGAGGGTTCGAGAAAACAACATGCTCTTGGTTGATGAAATTGATAAACGTAAGAAGCCATTTTATTTTATTAGAACCAAAATCGATAACGATGTGAAGTCCCAGCGAAGGAAAAGCAAATTTTCTGAAACACAAGCGTTGGAACAAATGAGACAAGACTGTGAGAAATATCTGAAGGAGAAGAAACTGGACCCTCATATATTTTTAGTTTCAACCCATGACACACATAATTATGAGTTTCAGAAGTTCATCAGCACCTTTAAAGATGAGGTTTTCAAAATTAGAGCTGAAGAATTTTCAGGTTTTCTGGACAAGATGCTTCATGGTGGATGGCTAAAAGCAAGGTGAGTATTGAAACTAAATGCTAGCTCAAAACAGTTAGATTTTGATAATATTGCTCTCATAAAGCTACCTTTATCTATCTATCTATCTATCTATCTATCTATCTATCTATCTATCTATCTATCTATCTATCTATCTATCTATCTATCTATCTATCTATCTATCTATCTATCTATCTATCTATCTATATATATATATACACACACACACACACACACACACACACACACACACACACACACAACACACACACACACACACACACACACACACACACACACACACACACACACACACACACACACACACACACACTCACCCACCGGCTGCTTTATTAGGTACATCTTTCTAACTGCTTGTTAACAAAAAATTTCTAATCAGCCAATCACATGGCAGCAACTCGATGCATTTATGCATGTAAACATGGTCAAGGTGATCAGCTGCAGTTCAAGAATGTCCTCAGAATGTATGATTGACATATTTTAAATGTGTTGCTAAATAAATTAATCAACAAATAAACAAATAATTATTTTAAATAAATTAATAATTTCAATGCTTAATCAGCTTGTTTACTGTTGTATGGTTTGTTAGGACAGGACAGCCAAGATACAAATCTGGAATCATAGTTTTTTCAACTTTATTTTTTTTAAATCTAAATATTAATAAAATCACCTTTAAATCCATCTAAATTAAGCAGTGGATGTTTCGAATCCAAAATTTAGTTTTGATATACTTAGACTGGAAAATTGACAAAATGTATTTATGGAATCTGATTTTAACTTGATGTTCTAAGGCTTTTTGGTATAAAAGAAAAATCAATAATGTTGAGCTATATAGATAATTTTTAAGACTGGATTTGGACTCCATGGTCGCTAATAGATTTAAGCACAGAGTAAATTTGTGTTCATTGTTTGTAATCATTCGTGTTATTAATATGTCTCTTTCATTTAGATATGCTACACAGCACGTCCAGCAGACTGAGAAACTTGAAACGGAAGACATCACAAAATTGCAGAATATGTACAAGAGCACAGGCTTTGGAGCTGCAAAAGTCAGTGCTGTGCTGGAGGCTTTGAGTCACTTTCAGCTTGATGTTGCAGTTTTGGGTGAGACGGGATCTGGAGTGTCCACTTTGGTAAATGCATTAGTTGGTCTGGAGAATGAAGAGAGCAGTGGAGCAGGAGCATCCATCAGCAACCCAGCACTGAGTCCTGTATATCCAGATGTCCGGTTTTGGGATATTTCTGGCATAGAGGCTGTCATGGATTACTCAGTGTTTGAGATGAAACAAGCCATGAAATGTTACGACTTTTATATCATCATTGTTTCAGACTGGGAGAAAGTACGACATGTAAAACTCGCCAAGGAAGTTGAAAAATTAAGGAAGCATTACCTCTTGGTCCAGACTAAAGTCGACTCTTGTTTACAGACTCAGGGAGATTTATGCTGTGAAGAGACTGAGATACTGGATGGTCTTCGGGCACAATTTACACAAGAGCTTCAGAGGGAAAAACTGTCAGAACAGCAGATGTTTCTCATCAACAGCCAGGACAGAAGTGCATTTGATTTTGTAAGTTTGGAGAGTGCACTGTCCAGTGACCTCAACACTATCAGGACAAGTGCTTTTGCATATTATATCGCAAGAACAGTAAAGGAAAATTTGTAAAAAATATCACAGAAATATGTAAGATAGTTAAACATTAAGAATGAATGTTTTTGAATGAGGAACTGTATCTTACACTCACCAAGGCTACACTAGTTAAAAAAAAATTATATTAATAATATAGTAAAATGTTATTTAAATTTAAAATAATGTTTTCTTTTTAAATGTATTTAGAAAAATGGTCTTTGTTCTTGATAATTGTTCATATTATCATGGTTGAAAATATTTTTTTCTGCTTCATATTAATGTGTAAACAAGATTATTTGATGAGCAGCAAGTAAAAAAAATTATTTATAATAGAATTATTTTTAACATTACAAATCTCTACCATCTCTTTTCAGTAATTTCATCTTTTTTGATTAATAAAATAATCCAAAAGAACAAATCTAGAAAGATATAAAAACATAGAAATACTCATTTATTCATTCGTTTTCCCTTCGACTTAGTCCCTTTATTAATCAGGGGTGGCCACATGGTAATGAACAGCCAACTTACTCAGCATATGTTTTACACAGCAGATGCCCTTCCAGCTGCAACCCATCACTGTGAAACACCCATACACTAATTCACCTATAACCACATGTTTTTGGACTGTGGGGGAAACCGGAGCACTCGGAGGAAACCCATGCCAAAATGGGGAGAACATGCAAACTCCACAAAGAAGCATTTCTGACCCAGCCAGGGCTCGAACTAGCGACTTCTTGCTGTGAGGCAATTGTGCTACCCACTGTGCCACCTTGACATCACATTAAATATGTTAAAACAGATGTTTTTTTTTTTTTTTATGAGCCATATAACATTTTCACAAGAATATGACCCAGAACAAACAACAGTGACAGTTCTGGTTAATTTACCGTCAACTGTTTTTGTTTAGGGTTGTTTTTGGTACTGATGTATACAACTGGTGTGTGATGTTTTAGGGACGTTCAATATATTAATGGAATTTTTCTGTACGTTATAAAGTAGTTTAATAATTTAGTATTTTTCTGTCTGTGATGTGTGTTAAAGTAAACGCAAAAAAAAAGGCACATTGGGATTGATGGTCTCTGTCAAAATTCTTGCAAAAGAATAGAAAATATTCATATGGGAAACTGAAAATTATTGGAAAAACTGGTCTGTAGTATAGAAAATAAAAATGTAAGTGTGCCATTTATTTTTTGTATGATGATTGTTGTACCACTTAAAGCAGTAACTTAAAACTGTTTTTTGTTTAAGAAAATGTTTATGGAAAAAAAAAAAAACAGACTATATGTGAGTTATACTGTAACATAAAATCTGAATACATTTAGTGAAACTATTCAAGATGTCTGTGTGCATTTTTCAGGTCAAATTCTTGTGTTGTTTTGGATTACAAGATAAACACTTTGTGACTATGTCAGGCGTCAGTGATAAGAACTGGAAAAATCCAGTCACAACCTAAAACATTTTAAAAGGCTTCATAATTTAAAATGTATCATAAACCTTTTTTTTTCTTAAAAAAAACCCAATATATAGTTACACATCGATCTGCCTAAAACAAATTTAATGGCTCTAAAAATAAGGTTTAACAATAATGCCTACATATAGTTGAAGTCAGAATTATTAGCCCCCTGTTTATTTCTTTTCCCTAATTTCTATTTAACGGAGAGAAGATTGTTTTTCAACACATTTCTAAACATAATGGTTTAATAACTGATTCATTTTATCTTTGCCATGATGACATAATGCTAATAATTTTGTCTTTGAAATAGTGTTTAAAAAAAATGAAAATCTGCTTCTATTCTAGCCGAAATAAAACAAATAAGACTTTCTCCAGAAGAGAAAGATGTTTGCTCTGTTAAACATCATTTAGGTAATATTTTGAAAAAAAAAATCTAAATCAAAGGGGGGGCTAATGATTCTGACTTCAACTGTATATGAATTATAGTACCACCATGGAACAAAAAGGAGTTTATTTACATTTTATTAAAACATTTTTTAATTCAGATTCATACTTATGGGAAACCACATACCACATGCATTCTGGATAATAGAACAAAAAAATCTGTGTCTGGATATTTAGAACACCCTGACAATCAACTCCTGTCAATAAGTTAATTTTTGTTATTGAAGTTTATGAAATTTTTTAAATATTTACAAAGTAAAAATATTGCTGAACTAATATACAAAACGTTATTACAAAATTCCCAAAAATAATAAAAAATATTTTAGAATTTTGTTACGTTTGAGTCATTTTACATTATTTGTGATAAAAATATGTTTAATTGACAACTCATTAAAGTAATTAAAGTTTATTATTAAGAAGTAGAAAAGTGTAAAGGGTATTTAAGTGAACAATGTTTAAAAATAAATAAATTAGGTATTGAACTTGATTGATGGACTGAAAAAAAAAATCAAACTGAAAACTGTCTACTAATTGTAATATATTGTAACATATTTCACTACATTAACATTTGCTTTTTTTTATTATCAAAGCAGGATTTTGTTTGCTAAGCTAAAGAATGACACAGTATTTACAATATCATTTGATTTAATAAGCAAAAGAGGCAGGAATTATGTTTATGCTTTATAGGAAATAAATCAATGATCTGAATGTGAACACAAAATACATTCTTAGCTAAATTATTTCAACACATGTACCAGGGACTTTCACATCATCCAGCCCAGCTTCTTTTTGTATTTCTTTAGCAGTTTTTGCCAGATCATTTAATACTTCTGTCAGGAGGTACTTCGTTGTAGCAAAGGATATTCCTGCAGCAGCAGCACTGCCTAGACCTGGAAGGAGACTCAAGCAATATTCAACTGTACCAATTGCAGCAGAGACTTGTACTTTGGTCAGAACTTTTTCTCGGATGGCAATGACAAACTTTGATTTGGCCATATCTTTCAGGTGGGGCTTGTTCACTTTTTCTGAAAGCCTTGTCAGGGATTTCTAATCTAAGCCAAATGCAAAGTAGCACCTTGTGAGAAATAGAACCACAATGGCCAAATCACATGCTGCTGATAGACCAGGCAGAGGGACCACAGCTATACCAGCAGAGGCAAAAGATACAGCCCAGGTCATGCATTCAAACATCTTTTCTTCTCAAGACATGCACTAGACCACACCGGTCAGGCTTGTAGAAGAGCAGATTGTTTGAGTTTTGGAAGCTCTTCAAAGATTGTGTTTAGAAGGTTTTCAAATTCATATTTGTTAGAATCTGTAGATGAAATCAAGAAAATGTTGGGCTTTCCCAGTGTTCTCAGATTTTTCTGACAGTCTTCTTTTATTGTGTCAAGGACCCTTTGTTCATCAAATGTTTTTTTTTTTTTTCCTGATGAAATGTCGTTATCAATCTTGAAGTGAACAATGTAAAGTTTTTCTTCTGCTTTTTCATTTCTTTGGCTAACCTGATGTCATTCTCTGTGAATCTCGCTGAGGTGAGAATCACAGCGATGTTAAGTAAGACATTCATAAACTGGTCAAATGCTTCTTTGGCTTTTGCTGTGGCCTTTTCCAAGGTTGATTCGCCTGAGGCATTTACTGCCTCAACAACAGCAGGGTCTTGAACTTCCATGTTTTGAACAGCAAACTTAGCCAATGATTCAAGAACAGATCTAAGTTAGAGACATAATTGTCAAAGTCAGGGGTGACAAACTAAGTTTCTGGAGGGCCGCAGCCCTGCTCAGTTAAGTTCCAACCCTGCTTCAACACAATTAAGCTGCTATCACACTGGACTATTTTCACCATCTTCCATTCATACGCACGCGAATGCGTCAGACCGGAAACACAAACTTGTGTGTCAAGTTTCGCTGTTTGCTGCGGTGTAAAGTTCAAACTTGGTGAACTTGGTGACCTGCGAAATCGCATCACTTCTTTTAAAAAACATGGACCAATCGCTCTCTTTTTTTAATGTCTAATCTTGTTTAACCTTGCCTTTTTTCGCAGCGCCATACTACAGAATTTCGCATGCACAAACTCTAGCCTGACCGCAGCATTGCCTGTGAGTTTCAAACAAGCCTGAAGGACTCAATTTGTTTGATCAGGTGTGTTTAATTAGGGTTGGAACTAAATTGCAGAGCTGCGGTGCTCCAGAAACTTAGTATGACACCTGTGGTCCAAATAATGCAAATAATATGAAGCCAATTCTAAAAAAACTGAGTTGACACTGACCAACAATCACAATTGCAGAGTCAAGAGACAATCTCAGAGTTGAAAGTTTTATTTTAAAATATGATCTGCAAGCCATAATGGCCATCTACGATTCAGAGAGGCCTTGAAATGCTAATGCAAAACACATTTTTGATTATATATTAACGAGCAGACAAAAAGAAAAATTGTTGTGAAATTTTTGTAGTGGTGCAATCCTGTGATAATGTTATAGTAACCCAACGTAAGTCTTTTTTGCTGGTATCTATACTTTTTTTTTTCTTTGGCAACTTTTACTCCACTACATTTTTTTTCAACAAATACTATGCTCTGATACACCTCTCTTCGATTCATGACATGCTTATAATACTCTGCAATAAGATGAAGAGTGGCACCTGCCACTGATAAACAACTGCTGGGAAGGAGACGAACGCTTGCAACAAATAGAACTCAAAAAGATTCTTCTACTAGCCAAAGAAATATTGGTGTTTAAAAACTCAGAACAGAGCTAAAGCTGAACACAATCATGCTCCTGAAACATGGAACAAGTTTAGAAAAAGTTTTATTATTTATTGGCTGTTAACTTTTTGTTACATGTGCAATTAATAACAAAGGGTTTATCTTTTATTTGTAGCATATACTTTTGCTTTCGTTACATTAAAAAATTAAATAGTAAAACATACTTTTCATATGACAACAATTTTAATGATGAAACTATATTATTACCTGTAAAAATGTATTTGTTTTAAGTTTCTCTGAGTGTGCTGCGTCAGCTCGTTTGGCACTTTCTACTGCAAAGAAGCAAGACCATACAGGTCACAAGTTACTTTCTATTCCAAATAATTCAAATTCAAATGAATGTTACCTGAAAAACAACACACACAAAAAAGCATTTCCCACAGCTTATGAATATATATTAGTTCCAGTGAACCCATACAGGTGCATTTTAAACTGGCGTTGATGGGTATGCTTTAAATTAGCATAAACATAATTCTAAATCATAAAAATGCCTGAAAATTATTAAGAGCATTTCAGCTTTTTGTTTTATTCCTGTTATACAATTTAATCATGCTTCAATATAGGCAACTGTTCAAACTGAAAAACCAAGAGTTATTAGATTTTTCCTAAAATGTAAAATTATAGAATAATCATAATCTAAAAAGAAGTTGGTGGTTCATTCCGCTGTGGCGACCCCAGATTATTAAAGGGACGAATATGAATGAACAAATAATCTAAAAAGATATAATATTCTTAAAACATTTAAAACAGTTTATAAACTTTACAATCATAAAAACAAAACAAATATTATTAACTTTGGTAGTAAATACAGTGACGGTTACAGAGTCGGTTACAATTACAATTGATATTACAGGTTTCAAATATGCACTCCTCATCACCTTGC